TCACACACCGAAAGCATATGAACCCACGTCTCACGTTTGGTAACCAGGTGCTAACCCCTTTGACATCTGAACTTAGGTGGCTAGGCTTATGGCTGGATCCTAAGCTGAACTTCGGAGCTCACATACGAAGAATGCAACAACGGGGAAAGGCAACGATAGCACAACTCAGCAGGATCAGCAGATGCTACCATGGCTTGAACCCAAAAGAAACAAAGAACCTTGTGATGTCTATTTTGAAACCTCACATTTTGTTCGGGAGTGTCGTTTGGTTCAATACACGAACAGAAGGTAAAGTGTCTAAAATTTTTAACCTACTCCAAAACGCAGCCAATCGACTGATCTTGGGAGCTTTTAAAAGTTCGCCAACGGATCACATGACCCACGACGCTGACATGATTACGTTTAAGGATTTAGCCATACAATACAACCACAATTACATCTACAAACGACTAACAGCACCAACAAGTCACCCGTCCAGAACGATCATTCAGCAGGAACTGTTGAGATTACCACATACGCATCAGAGCCCGATTCATAGATTGCTAAGAAAGACTGACCTGCTTCTTCCCACTGAACACACACTAGAAACTATACACCCGTACCCAGAACCACCGTGGACTGAACCGCGCTGGACAGTGGAAAATGTAGGGTCTAAGCGAGAAGACGTTAAGGAACGCATCCCAACACAAATTGAAGAAGAGAAAAGCCGAGGAGCCTGTGTGATGTTCACGGATGGATCTTTCATACCAGAAACCGGAGGCGGAGCCGCTATTGCGACAGAAGGAAGAACGGCCAGCCACGCGTATGGACCACTGGAAGGGATCTCTAACTACGAGATGGAAACTATGGCTTTAATGATTGCACTTGTTCAATTTAAACAGATAACTGACGCTTCACCTGGACAATTTACGTCTCTAGCAGTATTCAGCGATAGCCAGGCAGCTCTCGATTTATTCGCCAAACCTATGCAACCCAAATCACTCCAGTACTTGGCACGATTCCTACTCCGATCCCACAAACTCATAGCGCAACACCTCCAAATCAGACTCTACTGGACACCTGGTCATGAAGGCATTGCATTGAATGAACAGGCGGATCAGGCTGCAAAACAAGCGGCAGAAGGCAATACTGAACCAATGATGTTGCCCATGAGTTTAGGAGGACTCCTGCGACACACAAGAAGCTTATTTCACCAAAGGGGAGCTGTTTCTATCAAACCGTATAAAACAAAAGCCAAATGGATAGCTGATTCACTGAATTCTTTAGAAAAAGGAGATGCGGCGGCAATCTTTCAACTCCGGTGTGGACACTGTCCGCTGAAAAAGTTTTTACACCGAATAGGAGCTGAGGAAAACAATAGATGCGAGGGATGTTTTGCAACAGAAACTCCTGCACATTTCTTAATCTATTGCAAAAAATATAACAAACAACGTCAAACGTTCAGAAAACAATTAAAGAAAGAAAAAATTAAAGTCAACATAAACTCAACATTAGCACTATTAGATACACCTAAAGCTTATCCGTATTTAGCACAATTCATCGAGTCAACGGGAAGATTCTCACATCTTAGAACATACTTAGACAATTAAGAAAGCCACAAAGTCAAGAAACATTATGCCCTTTTTTCTTTATTATTTTCTTTATTATCCCTATGCCTTCAATTTTCTTTGTAAATCTTCTGGGAGCGCCTTTTTGTGTCAGGATGTATCTACTAGACAGGCTTGGTAGTCCGGTGTAGTGGAAAACCCATCAGAAGTTGTATTAGTCCTTCACTTTACATACACATACTTAGTTAGTTAGTGCGATATGTGAAATCAAAAGCACTTAAAAAAAAAAAAAAAAAAAAAAAAAAATGAAGGATAAGATGGCCTTCTACCAGCCGCTGCCTGATCAGATGTACAAAGCGTTTCTGCAATTATTGACCTCCTTTTTTCAAAGGTATTTTAAACTTTGATATATGTAGCCAGTCTCCAATTTTGGTGTCAGTGGAGACTTTGGTCCTTTCCTAATGTTGAGCAAATGAGATGAATAGCAGTGCAGGGTTCTGAACATATTATATGGATGTTGCAACTATTTGAGCATGAATGAGTGATTTTCCAGGATTTTATCACATCCTGAAATTCTGTAAGGATATATCAAGCTTTATTTATCAAGGGCTTCCATTTGAGCATTTGTCTAATTCTTCATTACATGGTGCTATATTGCCCCTGCAATCTATTCAGCAGTTGAAGCATTTTCTGATGAAGTATGTATCAAGGATCACTCCCTACTCCAGTCGTGGTCTGTCTCATCACTACACACCCCAAGGAGACTCTTCAGAGCATCCGCACTCGTGCGTTAACTCGGGTGCGGTAAGGTAAAATTTAACGCAAATGCGGGGCCTTTCCCACACTGGTGAGAAATTAGCCCCGCGGTAGTTAATTTTTGATTGGTTTGCGTTACACCAGGGGGTAAACCTACGGCAAGAAAACGGTTTTCGAACCCGTTTTCCTGCCGTCACGGTTTTAAACTATTTGCGTCGTTTCTGAGACGATTTCAGATGGGACCGCACAAACACGGTTCCCATCACTGTTTTTGGCGGTGCAAGCAAACCACCTCGGTGACCCCTGAACACAGTCCCTGGAACGAGGCCTGGAACGTTCTGGAACGTTCCTGGAACGTTCTGAGGGTACGGCGTAGAATTTGCAAAAAGGGAGACTTGAACACAGGCTCAAAACCAATGAGCGCAGAGCATCCCCGAGCCTTCCACCTCTGCACCATAGGGACCACACTGCCAGATCCCCTTGTGTCGAATCAATATGATTTCAAATTGTCAACCAATTCATAAAACTTAGATTCAAAAAAACAAGAAAGGTGAAAGGGGTAGGAATTGGATGAGGACTTTAAAAAATGGGGAATAGAAATTGAGTAATTGGTAAACCAAATCAGAATTTTTAGAGAGAAAGATAAGGAATCTTTTTTGGGGGAAAGTAAAGGTAGGATGAGGTACACGAAACAAGGATTCAATCCTGAGTTTGATAACCGAGTTTGATCAGTCAACGAAGTAGGTAATTGTATAACTCACACGAAAAATGTTTTCTTGCGTGAAGAACAAAACTTGAAGATTGAAGAAATCAATATGAGCAAGGACAACATGTTTTTGGTTTGTTTTTGAAAGAAGTTCATATACCAACATCTTAGTATTAAAAGGATACAAGATCAAGCGGATCACAACACAAGTACAATTATAAAATCTGAGTATGTAGATGTTTTTGCACGTGCTGCTTGTGAAGGACAATGCCTTTTTAAAGGTAGTGCTTTGTTCAACACATGGTGATTCAGATTGATTGTGACCTTATCGGTGGCACAATCAATCAGTGTGAGTTGAGGTGAGTTGTCTTTTTGAAACATAACTTTCATCCGTGACCGTTTTCATACGGTCACTGTTCATATATTGACAGTTCTCGAACAAACCGCTTCACCACCGCCTCAGCAGCCGTTCTCAAACGGTTGCTGACATGCAGCTCGTTCAAGAAGCGGTGGTGGAATGGTGTCCGAAACGGTTTCGGCGAAACCGGTTCCACACCTTCCTGGGCGGTTCTTGTGACGAAACCTTTGAAATCGTCACAGGAACCGGCCGAGGCCGAGGACCATTACCCCCTGGTGTAGCCATTTGGTAAATTTACCAATTGGCTAACGCATGCGGTAGCCAATCATCACGGCTTGTTCCAGCTACTTCAACTCGAAGAACAAACCTCAACCCAACCTCCATCATCAAAGTCAACAATCAACACCTCCGTTTCACCTTTAACACCTGATGAATTCCAAACCTTACAGTCACATGAACCAATTTGAGAACATTCAACACCGATGGATGTTTTTACAATCATGTGTTTTTTGTGTTTTTTGATTCAAAATAGCTCGATCGACTTGAAATTCTTCAAATTGTTCATTTTTCTCTCCTGGCTTTGAATCTTTAGAACTTTTACAAGATCATTATGTATATTCAAATTCATTAATTGTTTATCAAGATAGTAACTGTAAAGCCTTTGTCTTCTTAACTTGAAATCTATAGATCGAGTAGATGAAAAAAATCGCAAGGACTTTGGTCTTTTGAATCAAGATCTATTGATCAAGTAGACGACCACAATGATATTGGATGTATGTAGATTTGGATCTATGTAAATGAAGAATTCAAAAATGCCATCAGTCCTCCAGCGCACAGCAGAGGACAGTGATGTTTGTACTTGAAAATGAAAATGTTATCTTACTGCATGACCGTTGTGGAGTACATGTATTATCCGTAAAGTTACACAAGTTACCATGCTGCTAATGCAAACGAGTGTGAAATTTGGTCGAGGTAAGCAATTTTTTACTTACTGTAGAGTTTGTTACCGCACGTGACCAAGTTAAGAGCATCTCCTATCGTTCGAGTAAATTTTCAGTAAATTTTCTGTACGTAGGTGTTCGGTACAGTATCAATCGGTACAGAACTGTCGAAATCCACTATCGTTGGAAAGAAAGTGCCTCGGTACAGTACCAAATGGTGAGAACAATGGTTTCCCCGCAGATACCGAATCGGTAGAGGTCCAGTAAATTTGCTGGACCTCTACAGAATTTTGACCGATTCGGTGGATACCGAATCGTGTTTTAGACACGATTGGGGAATTTAAGGGTCGGTACAGTAACATATTCCTACATACAAAATAAGGCTCCTGTGTGACTTTTTTTTTCAAATTTTTAGAATTCCTACACAGAACATAAGGACCATTTTTACCTGCGCAGTACATACAATGGGACCCGCATTCACAACCGGATTGTGTATGCATAGACCTGATCGAAACCCAAAGGAAACTTGTTACTCAAGTTACAATTACGTCCCAATACAGTTATGACGACGATCAGCAGTGAGAAGTCTCTTCTGGGGTACAAAACTCGACTGCTTCACGATGTATGCTACGCAGCATCCAAACTATCGTTGTGTCCGGCAGTTACCGAAGGGGTTCAAACGTCTCGCATCAAAAAAGTCTTGAACTCCTATCCTCTTACTTAACTGAAACTTTGGACGCTTCTGCATTCACTTCAAGATTTTGAGCGATCAGATTTTACTTCACCGTCATCGAAAGACACTTGCAAGGATGGTTACCGAAACTAGACTGCCAACTTCGAGTGCTCCAAAATATGGATTTGGTACGGGTGTCTTGCTCACGTCTGTTGGGTTTATCTTAGGTCAGGTTCTTTTTCAAATCTTGGTATATTCATTTCAAAGCGTCACACTGATCATCATTATTGACTTGTTCCCTTTTTACACAGGTACTTTGGTCATGGCTTTACTCACTGATCAAGGATTACTATACTCTAGTGGAATTCCAACAGACGAAGCTTATCTAAGAGCTGAACACTTTTATTTAACACTCTGGACAAGTCCATTAGCCTTCAAAGCACTCTTTCACGTCTTCCTTTTGATACCGATTTTCACTTTATGTGTTAAAGTTGCCAAATATACAGAAGCTGCACTTTACTTTGATGGTGTTTGTCTTGCTTTTTGTTTACTTATCATTGGACTTTATACTGGATCTACGATTCCAAACATACGAAAGATCGCATCAGCTCCTTCTACAACGGAATTGGTTTCACTTGTGAATTCTTCGGCTTCACAACTTGGAAATGCTTTAGGAACCGAATTCGATCCTTCTTCGCCTATCAGTTTCCTTAATAGGTTTCTCGTTTTACTTAGTTATCCTTCTACAATTCTAATGAAAGCAAGTAAAGTTGCCGAAGCTGCAGAAGCATTTCAAGAAACTCTTAAAGCCGATCCGATCACCACTGAAAAACGTAAAGAATTGTTATCGGTCACAGCGGCTGGTCATTCGATTGCAATCTTTTTGCTGGTCGGGATTCTTGTATTACAACTCGGAAAGGTTTATGCTGAAAATGAAGATGCTAGATTGAAAGCTGAATTTGCTTTGGAAGAAGAGAAGAAGAAGACTGCTGTACCTCTTGAAAAGAAGTCTCAATGATGTCAACCTTGGACACGCCACTCTACTTCGTCGAATCAGTTGCTATCTTCACATGTTTAGCAATTCACAAGATTTCATGTACCAAGCCGATTAAAGTAACTCGATCGACGTGGGAGTGGGACAGTCATATCACGTCTGTTGGACAATCGTCAAGTGGCACCAGTCGACCAACAGCAACACCACCATCTTCTTGTATTCCATCACAATAGGCTATGATATCCGGAAGCTCACTTACCTTTCAATAGCCAAATTGAAGTGATTGCATTTCTCTTGTGAAAGAAACTCTATCCGCATTTAAGGTAGTCATCCTTCTATACATAGTTGTAAATATATACGTCATTGCAGATTTCATTGGATTTGATTAAAGTGTATCTCAAAAAGGGTTTGGCGTTGATTGATAGTCAATCATAAGCAAAAGTGAAAATAAATAATTGCAATTGTTTAAAGAAACCTTGTTCTTTCCATAGTCATGGGAAAGGATCAATCTCATTCTATCACTTCCCTGAAGAATAATGGTGATTGAATTCGACGAATTCAGATACGTGCCATCAGACCGTGAGCAATTAGAAGTCTTTAAGTGTCAATGAGCTGCAGGTGACCCATCTTCTGCTTTGACCAATCTGATCAGTGATGTGGTCTATTCTGAGTTGTTGTCTCCTTGGCTGATAAACCTCATGACCGTATTTTGCTCTTCACTGCTAAGAGGTGGATTTCAAGTCCCCTTTACCAAATCTTGCAACGAGCATTTGGTCAACTGGGTCCTTCTGTCTATTGTGAGAATAACTTTCTTTTCCATCTTAGAACTATCCGCGACTCTGATTAGAAAACCTTGACATTTGCACGGGTCCACTACATCAGCATTCCGAAGTGAATGATTCGTGTCATGTCAAACGGTTTGAAGCTACGAAGTCCTAGCAGGCTTTCCACGGCCGTTGAAAAGTGGTTCTCGAACGCTGGTTGAAATCAGCCAGAGCTGAGTTAACCCATCCCACAAGTAACTCACATTACCTTTATAAACATGTCTTGAAGAAATGATACTCCAAAAAACTTTCCACTTATCGCGTAGACCGACTCGAGAGAAGAAACCTTCTGTGACTCCATACTATCAAAAGCCCAAATTCGTTCGTCGCGGAATTAAAGGAACCTAACAAAGTAACGGTGGATATATAGAAATGTTATCTATTGGCTCAGTACCCAAAACAGTTGGAGGCTTTGCTGAAAAGATATAATTTCTTATCAACAAGCCAAGATAGTTCAACAGTGATTCAGGATACATGTGTACCACACTTTGCTTCATGACATATTCCGTAGACATAGACCAAGAAAACAAAAATAATTCCTAGAAGGCTGGAACCAGCCATAAAGTCTAGAAGGGGGTTATCGCACGCGGAAAGATCTTCATGAGTTTCAGTCACTAGGTGATCACTATTAAAAGCGTCAGGGAACTCCTAAATCAAGAATAAGGGACTTTTATTGAAACTAAAATCATCAATAAAGAGATAATGCTTGTGCGTTGATCGCGAAGTTCTAATTAACGAACTGGCTTGTCTGGCTAAAGATTTCTTCGACGAACTCATGAGGATCAAGGATCCTAAAAAAGGAGATAAAAATTTGGTATTTGAAATTCTATTAGGATTTTTCCATTTTACTAAATTCAATTCAAGTTTATATACAATTTATGGGAAAATGCTGGATGCTTCAAAATGCGGATTTACGATACATAGCTCTGGTGATCAGGGGGATATTTTATAAAATAAGAATGCGCATTCTAATTAACATCACGACGAGTACGACTGACACTAACTGAGGTGACAGGGTTTTTTGCGGTCGACGTTCTATCACGACGGGAAAAACTGGGGCGAAAGTGGATGTTGAGTACTAGACCGCAACTTCTATGGTGCGTATGGCGTCTTCCAGAGAATTACAAATAGCACTCTTACCTGTGCTCATTTTCAATCACATTACGACGAGTGGCCTTGGCTGAAGGTGAAGGCTTGGGGGCACCAGGGGCAGGAGCAGCAGCAGGAACAGCAGGAGCAGTACGAGTGAAAAGACTGGAAATTCAAAAATAAGATCACTGTTAGATTACGAGTGATATATTCATGAGTTTTGAAGTGGTGCGATCAAATCTTACCTGTGCTCATTTTCAATCATATGACGACGAGTGGTCTTAGCTGAAGGTGAAGGCTTGGGGGCACCAGGAGCAGGGGTAGCGGCAGGGGCAGCGGCAGGAGCAGTACGTGTGAAAAGACTGAAAATTCAAAGATAAGATCATTATTAGATTTCGAGTGAAATATTCAGGAATTTAGATGATGTGATCAAATCTTACCTGTGCTCATTTTCAATCATATGACGACGAGTGGTCTTAGCTGAAGGTGAGGGCTTGGGGGCACCAGGAGCAGGGGCAGCGGCAGGGGCAGCGGCAGGAGCAGTACGGGTGAAAAGACTGGAAATCCGGGGACATGTCTGTCAGATTGCGAGTCAAATATTCAAGAATTTTGAAATGATGTGATCAAGTCTTACCTGTGCTCATTTTCAATCACATCACGACGAGTGGCCTTAGCTGAAGGTGAAGGCTTGGGGGCGGCGGGGACAGGGACAGGAGCCGGGACAGGGACGGGAACAGGAGCAGCGGCAGGGGCAGGGGCAGTACGACTGAAAAGACTGGAAAATCGAACATAAGATCATTAGTGAAATAGTCAGTAGTCTTGAAATGGTGTAATCAAATCTTACCTGTGCTCATTTTCAATCATATGACGACGAGTAGTCTTAGCTGAAGGTGAAGGCTTGGGGGCACCAGGGGCAGGGGCAGCGGCAGGAGCAGCAGCAGGAGCAGTACGAGTGAACAGACTGGAAATTCAAACATAAGATCATTGTTAAATTTCGAGTGAAATATTCAGGGATTTTGCAATGGTGTGATCAAATCTTACCTGTGCTCATTTTCAATCATATGACGACGAGTGGTCTTCGCTGAAGGTGAAGGCTTGGGGGCACCAGGAGCAGGGGCAGCGCCAGCGCCAGCGGCAGGATCAGTACGAGTGAAGAGACTGGAAATTCAAACATAAGATCATTGTTAGATTTCGAGTGAAATATTCAGGAATTTTGAAGTGATGTGATCAAATCTTACCTGCGCTCATTTTCAATCATATGACGACGAGTGGTCTTAGCTGAAGGTGAAGGCTTGGGGGCACCAGGGGCAGGGGCAGCGCCAGCGCCAGCGGCAGGAGCAGTACGAGTGAAAAGACTGAAAAATTCGGAAATAACATCATTGTTAGATGGCGAGTGGTCTATGCAAGAGTTTTGAAATGGTGTGATCAAATCTTACCTGTGCTCATTTTCAATCATATGACGACGAGTGGTCTTAGCTGAAGGTGAAGGCTTGGGGGCACCAGGGGCAGGAGCAGCGGCAGGAGCAGCGGCAGGAGCAGTACGAGTGAAAAGACTGAAAATTCAAAGATAAGATCATTGTTAGATTGCGAGTGAAATATTCAGGAGTTTTGCAGTAGTGTGATCAAATCTTACCTGTGCTCATTTTCGATCACATCACGACGAGTGCTCTTAGCTGAAGGTGAAGGCTTTGGGGCACCAGGGGCAGGGGCAGCGCCAGGAGCAGCAGCAGGAGCAGTACGAGTATAAAGACTGAGATAAGATCATGATTAGATTGCGAGTGAAATATCCAGGATTTTTGAAATCGTGTGATCAAATCTCACCTGTGCTCATTTACAATCACATTGCGACGAGTGGCCTTAGCTGAAGCTGAAGGCTTGGGGGCGGCGGGAACAGGAGCCGGGACAGGGACGGGAACAGGAGCAGCGGCAGGGGCAGGGGCAGTACGTCTGAAAAGACTGGAAATTCGAACATAAGATCATTAGTGAAATAGTCAGTAGTCTTGAAATGGTGTGATCAAATCTTACCTGTGCTCATTTGCAATCACATTACGACGAGTGGCCTTAGCTGAAGGTGAAGGCTTGGGGGCGGCGGGGACAGGGACAGGAGCCGGGACAGGGACGGGAACAGGAGCAGCGGCAGGGGCAGTACGTCTGAAAAGACTGGAAAATCGAGAATAGGATTGTTGTTAGATTCCGAGTGATGTATTCAGGAATTTTGAAATGGTGTGATAAAATCTTACTTGTGATCATTTTCAATCACATCGCGACGAGTGGTCTTAGCTGAAGGTGAAGGCTTGGGGGCGGCAGGGGGTTCGGCATCAGGCTTGCCGGCGGCACCATTTGGCATTGTACGAGTGAAAAGACTGGAGATTTGAAAATAACAGGATTTTTAAATGTGAGCAAGTGTGATAACAATCTTGGAATCATGGGATTAATTCTGACCTGTGCTCATTTTTAGCCACATCACGACGAGTGGGCTTAGATGTAGGCGAAGGGGTAGGTGGAGCGGTCCCCGATGAATTCGAACTCGGAGTGGTGGCCGATCCATTTGTTGCGGGCTTGACAGGGTTGGGAGTGGTCTGGCGACTGCTTGGATGGTAGGTAAAGGTAAGTTGAGATTCTGTCTGTTTGAGAAAGGTTACTGAAGATTTGAACTGAGCTTACGCGAGCAAGGAATTGTGCGCAACTTTATCTTCGGCTTGTTGACTGGTGGCCAAAGCGACGGCCAAGGTGGCGAAACTGACGGTGATTGCAAAACGCATGATGATCAAGGATTCGAAATATAGAACAAAGAGTAGCTAGTACGCTAAGAAAGATTTGAAAAACTGAAAGCTTTTGAAAAGATGAGCAATAAGTAACTTCACAAGAACTACTCAGGCTGAGGAAAATAAACACAAAAGAAGATGATGGATAAAGATTTATTTACTGGTGAATACTATGAAACAATCAATGTCTTGATAATGAACAAAAAGTGAAGATATATATATATATATATATAACAATGGCTTATGAGGATGATTTGTAGGATGAGGTGAGTGAAGAAAGACTGACCACGAGGCATGATTTTATAGCATTTTGAAATCGTTGAACTTTTCAGACATTCGAGACTTGTCCGGTTCTGAAAAACTTCTTCATGTCAACACGGCACCTGAGACCAATGATGCATCACATCGATTGCTTTGTGGCAGCAAGGCGAAGTAATTGGATATGACTATTGAAAAGCTCGCGCAAGGCAGTCTTGTAGCCCTAGTCTTGAACCAGTCCGAACCTTCCTCAACCGTGGAATCAACATTTTTAAAGTATGACCTTCAAAGTAAGGTTTTGTACGCGACTTGCCTGAGCTTTATGTACGATTTAGTATCTCAGAAAGATTTCGATAGGAATGCCTCGTCGACTTCCTTACACTGTCATATCTATTTGTTGAAATTTTCAATCTTTCATCAAGTAAAGGAGAAACTTGGCATCCTAAACGCAATCCATTGTGCGTCCAAGATTATCTCGCATTGCTAATCAATAATAAACTGAATCACAAAATATTGAAAATCAACTTTCAAATCCATCTTATACACATGTATCGAAAGCAGCGCAATGAAATTTATGCTCACTTATCCTTCCTTATAAATTCCAATCACTTCCAGTTTTGACTCCCAAGGAATCAAGGAAGTAAGTGACGTTAATGCATTCACGTGCGGAATATATCATACCTTTTGTCCAACCTTCAAGTGACGGTGGATACATCTTGGATTCGAGATTGTCGGTGCTTGCATGACTGTTTTGTTTGGCTACGTTGAGGTTGTTTGAATTTTCTGCGTTGACTTGACCGATTTTGCAAAGCAGCGCAATACTCGAGAGATTTGGCGCGAATTGACTGTATAATCGCATACCAAAAATCATTTTAGTGATTTACCTACAAGACTATCTTCCTCCACAATCAACAGGCGATTTGATTGATTTCCTCCATCTCTATTTTGCGATACTAGAACCTGTCAATGGCAATAGCAGTCTTTGGTGGGGTTCCTATCTAGATTTCCTTAGGTCTTTGTGGTCCAAGACGTCCAGGTGAAACATTGTGAACACATATCATCTGTGGCATCAAATTCTGCGCACAAGCTATTAAATGAGGAGATGGATATGAAGACTGACGTATTCCTTCTATTCCCCAATCACCATTCTTAAGCTCGACTTCCCGTAGACATGTCATTTGCTTTATGTGAAAAGCAGGGCGCACTCTCGAATTGTGAACTGATCTTATCCTGGCTATTCCCGTCACCTTGAGTGACTATGAGAGAGCTGCCTATGTATATGCTGTGCTCACTAGAAAAAGCCAGGAACCCTGCTGAGCTGTGCTGAAATATGTCCACTTTCACTTTCGATGTCATTGTGTGAACTTTGAAGGCACATGACATGTCAGATCATTCAATTGCAAGTGACACAGGTTTCTGACCTGTGACATGTAGGCTGTACTGCTAATCGCAGCTGGGTTGAATAGGCTATAGAGAGTGTCACCGAAGCTGTGAAGAATGTTTGATCCAAGGGATGGTTTTTTGTATTTTGTGACATCTTCCTTCCTTCAAACACCCATCATCTGATTTGGTAGTCAACTCAACTTCAACTCAAATCTATCTTCATCCTACCATACATACTCTCAATCAACTTCTTAATTCACATCCTTCTACTCATCATGGTCTCTTCGGTCTCAAGCAATCTTCCTTCATCACCTTCAAGACGAGCCGGAGTCTCATCTACTTTTTCACTCATCAGCGTATTTCATGTCTTAGTCCTTCTCTTCTCCTGCTCGACCGATTCCCCATTAGTTTCAGCTCAGCATGATTTCACTAGCAACTTAACCGATATCTCTGGTACTTGGTCTTCTGGAAGTGGAGCTGTTCTTACTGGTTCGGTTAGCTCTTGGTCTCCCTTTCTTTCACCGCCGACTCTTTCCTCTGATATCGTTTGCTGTGACTAATCATACGCCCTTTCGTCCCGAACGGTCGGTCCTATAGGGATTCGCCAATCCAGTCAATTTTTCCTTCACATATCCTAAGACAGCGGGTATCTCAATGAGCTTCACAAACGATGGATTCTGGGAGGAAGCTCAATACAGATTTGTATCCAATGGTGAGTGGCCACAACGCGCGCTAGATTATTCAGATTCGATTCTTCAATCACATCAAATTCATCATCATCGAATCTCTATTTGACAGGTTCGAGGCCAAATTGTGTAAAGGCGATTGTCCTTTGGCAACATGGTCGTTATACATTTGAGAACAATGGATCATTAACAATGCAACCCATCAAAGCAGATGGAAGAATCCAGGTTCAAGACCCATGTGCTGCTCAGACTTCTATGATCACTTATTACTACCAGCCTGGCCTTTATCAATCTTGGCAAATCTTCAATGACGTTCACCATAACAGTTGAGTTTGACAGCCGATTCCATATGTTATCCTGCCTTTGTCACTGACCTGTCTTATTGGATTCAATCAATAGCCTACAATTTACAGCTTCAAGCATTTGATAACGCACTATTTCCAAGATTGTATTTGGTCGCTCGTCCTCCTAACATGCTACCAACCATCCAACTGAGTTCTAACTCAACCAAACGAAAACGTTCATTATCAGAAGACAATGTAGCACCTAATAATGAAGGTCTATGGAAAAGGTGGTACGGTGCATGGGCTTCGTGAATTTCAATCACATCACAACTATCATTACACTATCATCATATATTTCCAGATACAGTCGTAATCTTTTTTTCTTTCCTTGGGAATATGTATAACAGATTCTGGAAGATGGTCACCTAAACACCGAATTCTTGTTTTTGTTTTCAATCTTCTATTCTACATCTTCAATCATCATAAAGTATTCGTCTTTTTTTTCCCTCATCCGATCTTATATTTATTACTTACGTAACTCTTTTTACTAAAGTAAAAACTCTACTATGAATCATCATTCTTTTTTTTACCACATCCTTTGATGTGTTATGTGACTGTATATCTTAGTACAGTGTGTTAATTTTGATATCGTCACTTATCTTGGTTCATTTTTTTTAGTTTTTTAATCATATATATGTGCATCTAGTGAACTTTGTTGCGATCCTATTCAATCTTATCATTTTTTGAATCACCTGTAGCTTGTGCTCTTGGAGCTCTCTTCAATTTTCCAATGAAGTATCTCTACAGTTCTTCTTTTATAGTGACTTCTCTCTTCCTAGTGACACCTCCACACATTGTAGGGAGCTAAAAATCATAAAATCATCAGAGTATGGGCTACTTTCTACGCGGGCAGAAACAGAGGCCTTTTGGCCATGTGTGTATCTACTGGTCGCCTGGTCTGTAGATCAATTTACAATACCTTGCAAGTCAATGACAGTGGTATTGGCCAAGGGTTCTAGTTCCATGCCAGAATCTCACCAATGACATCCATTATCCAAATCTCCTTGAAATCTTGATCTTTTGATTGGTTCACTAGGCTGTTTTTTATTTATGTTGAGAATTCATAAACAGAAGGGCTTTGTACCTTTGGATTTGTGAAATGATCATCATCAACTCTATTACTTATGTAATTTAATTAAACTGAAGACAGAAGACATAGAGTTTTGAGAATTTCTCAAGTTTTATAAACTTTTTGAGATCAGATTTGTTGCAAATTAGTACAATGTATCATCACTAATCACTTGTACTCCTTGTGAAAGTTTTTCTTTTGTTACAATGAACTTATGAAAATTTCTAAAAAAGTGAAGGTCTTTGAGAATGTATGAAGGTTTTCATATTTAGAAATTTGTACTAACAAGGTAAAAAAAGATTGCGTGGTTCATAAGTCTGATAGTTGGGAAGACTTGTTTCATTAAGAAAGAGATCTTGATTTGGTATTTACATAGTGAGAAACTTGGTTTTTGTTTACTTTGCTGATGAAATACAACATATTGGATCCAATTCACTGCTCTCAGTTCAAAGTGAATGATACATATGTTCAAACTTCCTCTAATTGGATCTAAAATCCTCATCCAGAAGCACTGCAGCTTAGTAACCAGGGGATACAAAGTAGGATCCTGGCATGTCCCCAGCCTTGTGCCCAGAATTCTTTTAGAAAATCCAAAAATTACAGCCAAAAAACATCCAGGAGCAAGGCCAGACGTGTGGCCAGATTATATTTTGTAGAATGTAAAGGTAGCCAAAGTGTATGGGTGGGTAGATTTTAGATCTATCCTAGAGCTTGCTTTTACTAGTTTCAAGATGGGAGATTGATAACCTTCATTTATGGTCTTTCTATCCTGATTTTATGTCTGTGATTTCTTCTTGGCCTGTGATATTTTCATTGTGAAGTGTTTTTCCTTTTTTTGGCTATCAATCTGATTCTCACTCAGACCATCCGCAATTGTTTGCATTGAATTTGGAGTTAATCAAGCTGAAGTTGAATATCTTTAGCCAGAGTTCAGTAATCCAACACCAAATCCCACAGTCATTGGAGCTAAAGGTGTATTAGGTAACTGTTAACCTGCACTACAAAGCCTGGGTCCCCAGTGGCTTGGCACTAGGCTAGGGTCAAACTCTCTTTATCTTTTGCATTGTGTGTGCAAATATACTCATTTTATTTGCAACATGGATGTCACATAAATCATCTAATGGCAATCAAGGATTATTCACCAAAAGGAATACAAAAACTATGACAAGAGGATTGGCTCATTCTTGCCTCAACCAACATGCACACAGTCCTTGACTGTGACTGGATTCCTGCCAACCACATTTTAAAACATGACTACTTTCAAGACACACTGTACCCTTGTGCTTACTTTGAGAAAAGGTTTTGGATAAGTCCTGAGCTCTTTGGGTACATTGCGGCTGACTTAAAGAGCCCACTGGCAGGCCAGTGCATCCTAGAGACTTGATAATGGTTTGAATTGGATGTCAAATGGATATCACCCATTGATTGAGAAGTTATTAAAATTCAACCAAAATTTAAATGATTGATGTCATATGGAATTGTAGATTTGTACAACACTGCTCCTGTATTGCCTCACCAAGAATATATAGTCTAACAACCTTTACCATGTGAATTTACTGATTTATCAAGGTCTGAAAAACAAATGAATGGATAAAAGATACTATTTTTTGACAGAATGTGTTAAATGGTAAAAATGAATACCTGTTGCCAGTCACAATGGATCTCATGGTCATTTCTTGACACAGGGATGTTTAAAAAACTGGACTTACACACAGACTATGGTAATGTGAGGGTGGCAGAGGATGATATGGATAAACTTGTGTATCTTGTCAAACTGGGGCAATTTTCACCACTCACCATGCTGTTTTGTCAGGACCCCGGAAAGCTCCCTCTGAACCAACCGACGGAAAACCTGGATTATGAGAGTTTTCATACCCAACAATCCCGGACTTTTGGAGCTTTCATACCAAGTTGGTTGGTAACATGTCAGTACCAAAAATGATCCCTGGGCTACAAAGCCATGTTTTGGTGCCATTTAGTGCCAAAAACATTGGTATGAAGATGAGATTTTAAAAATCATACCAGGCACATCTGTAAGATGAATGACTAACAAGCCATTTTCATACCAGTTTGGGGGGTAACATGACCAAATCTCAACCACTCAAATCATACCAAATACATTGGTAGGGCTAAGGGGAGTTTTCTGGGGTCCTGTTTTGTCCCACTGGAGCTCCCAGTTATCTCCAATTATTTATTCAAGATAAACATGTTGAAGAAATTGGTCAAGATTTAGCTGTATACCTTGACCACACAATAATTTACCCCAAGAAAGGTGTCTATCACAAGAGGCAAGTTGATGGAGTCCTGGACATGTTAGCCAAGCAACAATGTTGGCTCAAACTCAAAAAGTTCAAATTTTTTAAGTTTTTCAAGTCTGAATTTGAATATATAGTCTTATTAATCTCAAAGAACAAGATTAAGATGGATCCAACCAATGTTAAAGATGTCAAATACTGGCCAGCACCTTGTAATATTTCAGAGCTCCAACATTTTAATGGTTTCTTCAATTTTAACAGGCACTTCATTGACCACTTTTTGTAAATTACCAGGCCACTGCACAACCACACAAGACTCAATACTCCATGCAATTGAACTGATAAGTGGAATTGTGCTTTCAAGAGTTTGAAGACCACATTTATGTCTTCACCTGTCTTGAAGATAGCCAACCCATACGAGCGTTTTATACTGGAGTGCAATTGTTTGCAATCTGCACTGGCAGCCATTTTGTCTCAAAAGTGTGCCAATAATTGTGACTTAAATACAGTTGCTTATTTATCCTGTTCCTTAGTCCAAGACAAACAGAATTATGAGATATTTGGTAAAGAGTGGCTGGCAATTCTTGCAGCCTTCAAAGAGTGTTGTTGCTACCTACAAGTTAACCCCAACAGATTAGAAGTGAATGTGTACACCAACCATTGGAACTTGGAAAGCTTTATGAAGACTAAGCAATTGAATTGTCAACAAGCATAATAGGCCAAAACCATGGTCTGTTTTGAAAGGTTAGACCTGGAAGGAAGGCAGGTAAACCCAACATGTTGTCAAGAAGGCCTGATCTGGTTGCAAGTAGTGACAAGAACATCACATTTTGTCAGAACTATTGTAGCCTGCAAACATTACGCTCAGTACATTCAAAGTGGAATTTGATGGTTTTGATTCTTTTTTGAACATCAAATCCCAAAACTTGATAACACTGAACACTGGATTGAGTTTGACATCCTAGGAATCACTGACACACTTGACAGATATGATGCTGTTATACCTGACATTGACAATGCTATTTTAAAAATCACCAACACACATGACAACAACAAGACTATTATCAAGGCAATTGAACAGTACTTGGACCACTTTGTGGGATATTAACAAAATGATTGAGAAAGTCTCTTATCAACTGCTGAGTTTTCTTACAAGAAAAATGATCACAAGTCAACAGGTATTTCACCTTTTAAAGCTAATTACAGGTTCAATCCAAGTTTTCACAAGATTCAAGCATCAGACCAGTGTATTTCAATAGTAGAAGAAAGATTGAAAACTCTGAAAGAAGTAGAATTAGAACTGACATACTGTTTACATATATCACAAGAAACAATGAAGGTTAAGTATGACATGCAAATAGAACAAACTCTGACATGGCCAGTAGGAACTCAAGTTTGGTCAAACAAAAAATGTTCCAAAAACCAGACCAAGCCCAAAATTATACTACAGATGGATAGGTCCTTTAAGTTTTGACAATGTTTCACAAATTGTCAATTCTACTTATGAGTCAAAATTACCTGCATCATTGAAAGGAATTTGTCTATTTTTTCATGTTTCCTTATTGTGGAAGCATCATCTGGATCCTATTGAGCAACAACAACAACCCACACCACCATCAATCAACATTGAGGGAGAAAAAAAGTATGACTTGTCAGAGATATTAGATTCAAGAAGAAGGAACAAGAAAAAAGAGAATTGATTTAGTTGGAAAGGATTTGGTGTAGAAGATGATTCATGGTAAGCGTAGAAAAATTTAAAGAAGTGTCAAGATTCATTGGATGAATTTAGTATCAGATTTTTGGAGGCAGAAAGCAAATACAAAAGGAGACAGAGAAGGAAGTGAGAGGACAACCCATTTTCCCTATTTATCTTTGGGTTTTTTAATGCTGTCCAGGGAAAGCACACAGAACTTTCAAGGTGGAGTTTATAAGGGTGAATAATGTTATGGTCTTATAATGTGTGAAAGGTCTTGTACAAAAATCACACATCAGACTCATTATGTAATTGCATCACTTGTACTTTCCCTTTTCCTCATTCAACAATCATCATACACAACTAGACCTTTGAGTGATAAGAGCCCTCCTCTCATTATAACCCTGGGAGACTATTCATAAACTACCTCTTGCATTTGTGTATGACAAAGAAGGAAACTGGTGATATCATCTATTGTTTCCTCAATCCTTCTTGAAATGCATTACCTTTATTAAAATGGTCATTGATGTCCTTATCTTGGAACTAAGCATAATCCTTTGAGGTTATTCATGGACACTAATCTAGATCCAACCTTTCTATCTTGACTCACCTATTCATATGTTCTCAACAATGCATTTTTGTATATCACACAATCTCAAAGTATTATTGTGAGATACCAATTCAGCTTTGTGGTCATTAAATTGTGTTGTTTTTCTGTTTTTAACAGTTGAATTCATAAGTTCAAAACAATGAGTGTTGCATAATACCATTCATACTAAATTATTTGTCTTTTCTTATGGTCTGTTATAAAGAATTTAAGTATTTCTGTATTCATAAATTTTCAATGTGAAGATATTTCAGTACCCACGGTTGATCCCACTTTGAAACACCAGCATCTATTTATGATGAACCCTGGAAATATATAGTGGCCACCATCACCTCAAAAAACAGAAACAGTTCCAGTGTCTTATCAAACTCCCCTGCTATGACCAATATCCTAGCAAATATTAATCCACAGGTGCTACAGCATAACAAAACGGGGCTGTGATTCAATATTCTGGACTGATGGGAGGTCATGATTCAGCCTTTTAACAAGTTATAATGAGTTGGGCCTACTAGATGACAACCAATCAATGAGGTTTGACCAAATCATGACATATTCTGATCAACAGATTAGACTTGAATAAAAAATATTCCTCTGTGTTTGAATTTATGTTACAACCTCACAGTGTGTACCATGTACTTGATCATTGGCCCAGCATTTTTGGCCACTTTTCTGTTGCTAATCCCATTCAACAACATACACCCAGGATGTAAGACAAATAAGATGTCAAGTAGAGGGTTCGCGAATCAGAATATGGGGGTTCAATTGATGCTATTCATGATGTACAAAGATGAGGTACCGTTGACAAATCAAGTAAAGGAAAAAAGAAAGGAGAAAAATCGGGCATTTTCAGGATGAAAACAGATGCTGTGTTTTATCAGGTTACAAGCTTGCAATATTCCGAAGTACATCCTATATCCCATATCCAACATTGTCAGGTTTGATCCCATAGAAAGTGGCAGTCAGTATAGTCTGATACCAAATGCTTGATCACATATGATCAGTTGAAAGTAAACTTACGCTGGTTCACCTGCCGGCTTGCGCAAGTATAGACTTCTGGGTGTCCTGCTGGGTAGAAATGGATGCATACTATTATTGGCAGAATTGAGAAAGTAGAATCATTCATTCAAAAGATCAGGAGGCGTCTAAAGTAAACAGAATCGAGATGGACAGTCGAGGCATTTTGCTTGAAGGTATCAAATGAAAATCGACTCAACAAATAGGGCGATCCGGGTGGCCTATTGAGCTGTAGTGCATTCCGGCATCGCAAGTAAATGCTCCTCGCGTGCTCAACTTTTGTGGGCCAACACAGTCAACAGCATCTGTGAGATAATTCAATGAACGACAAGGTCAGCGTTTCTCATCCATCTGCGCATCCATTCGAAATGTAAAGTTGATTTCGCACTGGGTTTTTTGTTATCACTCCTGTTGCACGATTCGCACCAGTATGCGGAAGTCACACCTTTAGAGTCCTTGAGACCGCACTCTTCGGTCGTTAACATTGATGGAGGGAAGCCATTAGAAGATTTCCGTCAGTTCACAATGTCCTCAAAAATGTTATGTAAATCATTGATTGGATTTGAAGAAGTGAAAAAGTACAGGTTGAAGGGAAATGTTGAACCTACTGTGCATTTTATTATTGTTCAGCACCCCTGCTGGTTCCCAAGAGTCGTTACATTCTATATAATTAGCGTCGGCAAAGATGTGCAACCCGAAATCTCCTGCGAGCAGAAACACGAGCACAAGAAACAAAAGGGGGTTTGCTGGCTTCCAAGACATATTTCACGCCAAGTCGGTCAAGTTTGATAGGCAAAAGTTGTCGAGCTGTCTAAGATCGAGTGTAATTTTTGAAGTATTTTGATCAAGTTAATGGAGGAGAAACAGAAATTATTTAGGAAGAATTTTATTAGGAAGAATTTTACAGATACAGAGAGGAAACTTGCTGGGCAACAAATGTCTGACGGCGGAAAGCAGCCCTATACGGAAGTCAAAAATGACAAGAGATATCAGGTAGTTGCGAAATAAAAAATCCTCGACCAGGTTCTGAATTCCCGGGGGTTAAACCCTCAGACCCTGCTGCAAGTTGCCACTGTGACGACACAAAACCATCCATTCCTGATTTCAAGCTGCAAGCCTGTTATTAATTGTAAATATTTTTGTGAATTCCACTCTTGAAACTAACTAATTCACATATGTTCCCAATACTAATGGGTCAAATTCCAGCACCATTTAAAGCCGGATATACCTTGTCAGTTTGTCAATGACGATGGACTTTGGTAATTTGCTTAGCACCTCAAGATAGTTTTCAACTCAGTCATAGAGACCCTGAGTCTCAAAAGATCGAGCGGGCTCACACGTGCGAGACCTCAACATATCGTGTAAAATTCATGAGTACAATGGCATCACCCAAGAGATTCAATGGCCAAGAGTGATACATTATTAATATGATACAATTTGCATTTTGGTTTCTTGAATAATCATAATAAGATGACTATGTGATCGAAAAGAAAAACTTCTACTATGGATTCAATGATATTAGTTGCTTTTCAGTGATATTGAAAGACAAAGATGTTGAGCATGAGTAGATCTTTTTCTTTCAAAGAATATCTGCTGGTGTTATGTTGTAGCTGCTGATCCTTGCCACACAGCAGACTTTTTGAGTGCAGAGTGCATGCCTTCCGGACCGAGTTTCTAGTAAATGTCCGGTACCCGTAAGAGTCGGTACTTGGACGTCGCGGCCGCCTCCCTGAAATACGTCTTGACGCGGATTCTCATGAGCCTAGTGTGCGCTTCACCAATTCCAAATCATGGTAAGTCTGTCCCCATTCTAAATATCCTGACCAAGTGACAGATCAAAAGCTAACTTGATTAATTGTTTCAAGTCGGAACTCAGATACACAGCCAACACCCAGCTTGAACAATTACATGCACGTTATGTTGGAACAGGACATGCTGATCTTACCAAACAGTTTAGCCATTCACGATTCTCAGTTTTCATAGGAATAATTAACTAATTATAAATCATCTTGATTGGTTTTAGTGAGTGGTTAACACATCAACATCGGGATACTTATGCATCTATCATTGGTCATCCAGCTTTATGGTCTTATTTAGCTATAGCTGAAGGAGAATCATTAGGTCGAACGAAATTCGAAATTTGTGAAGTCAGTTTACGATCTCGATTGTGACATATTCGTTTATCTTTATCAATCGAATCATACCCCCTCGCATTATGATGTTCATGTTTCGTTCTTTTATTTGTAGCGAATGTTACAGCCTTGTGGACCACCACCTCAAAAGGATGAAGATTGAGAATCGAATCGTTCACTCATACTTCGATACCTGGATCGCGATCGGGTCGATGGCCGGTTTGCGAGGTGGTGAAAGACAAATGATTCCATTGTGAATCTTAGCGTTCGATGCTTGAAGTCGAATGTCCCATATAAGTCGTAGAAACGGCCATATCATTTTCAAGATGAGATACCCTTTGTGATCGACTTGATAGTGTATTTACGATATACGGAGATTTGTAATGTTACAAATTCTGACCTGTATCATCAATGATTCGGAAACTATCAAAGCCCTTGGTTCCACCGGTGCTTGGTTCTCAAGAATTTCTTGATCTCCTGTTGAGCCCCCATTAGATTCATGTTCCCAGTTTTTGATAGTAGGCTAAAATTTTCTTCAAGTTGAGCTCGATTTACATATTTGAACCGCCACACCAAGAAAAGGTGCATCAATAGAGCCTCACTTCAAAGGAAGCAAGGTTTTGGTTTCTCAGAAAAGTCTGGTCACCAGCTCTCTAATCCTACATGAAATAAACAAATATTCGTCTTATACATCATTCAAAAGTCAAACTCTTTGGTACAAAGCAACTTGTGGTACTTGTTGCAAAATGATGCAGGCATTGATTGGAACTTCAGAGTAAGTGTGCAGCATTTCTGTCAAATTCCAAAAAAAATGTTTGGCCCAAATTTATGTACCATTAGGGGCAATTGAGGCTTCAGTTGGCACTTTATTTAGTTATCTAATTCTTTTTGCTTATTTTATCTTATTCTAAGGGACAGCATTAGACCACTCTGGCACTCTAGATCTGGGAGTGTTGGCTTAATGTACTGTTCACCCCTTGGAATGGTGAAGCTACAACACCACATTTTTGCAGCACAAGTTGTTTGGTGAGAATTGTTTGTTCTGGGGAGGTGCTGCAAGGATGCATCAAACAGTGCCAATATAGAAGTAGTGCCTGTGCATCTGGAGGAAATGATCAAAGTCATGAGCTACTTCTCCTGTCCTTGCACTTTGTTCAACTTCATTGTCCTCTCTCATCCTCTGTTTGGCTGGGTTTCACCAACTGACATACAAGTAGATGCAAACAGGTAGGAACCACACTTGACAATACAACAGTGCATGTTTGATACATGTTGTCCACCACAATAAATAGTGGGGACAGTTCACTTGACTGGATCATGGTCAGTGTCCCCAAGAGTGGCCATGTTGATCTTTGAGAAGACTGTGACAGTATCACATAGATCTGCTTGAAATATGTCTGAGGACCTCTCATATAGCGCAGTAAAATATTGAATCAAATTCTTGAGCCTTTTGAAAGAGCTTTATTAGAAATTTGGGGAAGAAATCTGCTTTGCCTGCGTGCCTTTCAGTTCTAGGTGTCATCAAGAGGTGCTGAATATCAAGGATTGAGTCCTTACCTTGTAAGTGAATTCCTTTACATTGGTTTGACTACATAGAAATCCTGTAACTTCAACACAGATCATCATCAGCATTATCTGGCATGCTCAAAATGCAACTGTTTGATTCTATTTTCCATCCTATAACTATCCAATCAAATTGCTTCCTCACCTATGATATAGATATTCCTTGGTTATAGTATGGTCATCCTTGATATCAGTCCTGCATACTTTCTTCTCACCTCTTGATCAAATCAGAATCTTGGTATTATTGATAGTCAAATGAATTCAATCTTTGGAACAGGGAAGTTTCTTTTAATAATCATGTCTGTAATGGCTGCACACAAAACCCATGAATGATTCTCATTCATCTCATGTTCAGAAGTTGGTCCTTTGTATAAGTTGTAGACATATGTGTGCTTCAAGGTTTTTCATGATTTTTGACTCCTCTTGGGTACAAGTAACACTTATGATCGTTTATAGTGTGTATCTAAAGGTCATAAGTTCAGGAAGGGGCTAAAAACATTTTTCTTCCAGTGTGTTGTACTACAAGGTATCAGTTGAAAGCAGCAGAAGTACATAGCTTGTTTTCCATGTAGCACTATGACATCTTGACCTTGAAGGCCTTTAAACAACTGAACAAAGCTGCTGTTAAACAATCCTGCGTGAGAATTGAAGCAAGTTGAAGCACATCAAACTGAGGCTCCCTTGAATGTGGTTTCACATGCGTTATTACCCGCCGATGCCCAGTGATTTTTTTGGTTATCCGGATGCCCGGCTGTGCAGTATCACACGAACGCAGCAAAAGAAAAGAGTTGCTAATGAAATTCTTGTATGTAATAAAATCTGATTGAAAACTGTGCCGGTGTGCTCATACCACCGATTTGATACAAGACACCAACCACTTCATCAGTGCTCTGACCACCAATCCATTTCACTTTCTCATCTTTCTTTCATTTTACGAGGAAGTTTTCATTCGATCTAACTCAAGTCTCATTATTTCAATCAACTTATTATTATCAAGAATTTACTTATTTTAAAACATACTTATAAACGATGGGTAAAAATAAGAAAGAAGCACAACAGGAAATTCCGGCTCATATGGTTTGTGATGAAGGAGGGTCAGTTGTTTATCTTTAAAAGCCTTTCTTGATGTCATTGGTATAGATTGAAACTGATTGAAACTGATTGAAACTTTTGTATCCTTTACTTTCTCTCTGGGCAACGTAGTACTCATGAGTAGGTCAAATTTGATTATCTTATGCAGTCTTTGTCTTTATATTGATATCTCGGTGATTTTTTTATAGTTTTCGATTCGCAAAGGAAGTTGGATGTTGTGATAGATGTACCTGCATATTCTGCTTTCCAGTTAGCTTTCTTTAGATTTCTTTCGAGACCTACAATTTGAAGAAAAACCAACATCTTCTGACGATCTGATTTTTTTTTTTGATTCGATTCTCAACAATAAACCAAATAGTGTTATGCGATTTGTTCTTGCCTGATGTCTGAAGGTTTGTCTGTTTATATCAAAGCTATGTTTAACAAACAAGATGCTGAAATGTTATTTCGATTTGTACTTGATGTGATCAGGTGCTGCATTTGCGAACCCTTTGTTTGAACAAATGTGTTGTTCAAAAGGTCAAGATCAAGGTGAAGACGCTGGAAAGGTGAGTTTAAATCCCTTCAACCAAAATCTTCACTCTAGTCATGCCAATTATCGAGGCCATATTCTGATCAATCTTCTCTTTTGTATAATCTTTTGTGTAACTATAGGCAGTTTGTCGTAAATGTGGATTGACAGAAATTGAAGCAAGAGATCTTTCTGATGCTCGAGGAGCAGAAGCCCAAGAAGGCAAACGTACCACCGGGTATTTCTCAAATGCGATGTCAATGCCTGGAGCTTCAACTTCTAATCAGACCCCAGTGACTTCACCTGTTCATCCTACCAATCCTGATCAGATTGTTGAAGACTAAGCTTCTCCTCGCCCCTCAGTCAAACGCGTTCTGATTATCTCTCAAAGCATCATGAGCGGTCATATTTCGAGCATGCCGCAGTTGCTTGTCCTCTAGTCGGCTCAGGCTTCGTCAGAAACTTGATATCTTTGACTTCTCGTCTCAAGCATTCCAGCTCCATCACAAGCAAAACACTCTGATCCAGTTTTTCCTTCGATCCTTCAACCTATGCTAATTTCTCATAGACTACCACAATTGTGTACCTATGTACCTTTCTTCAATCATTTTCCCTCATGCCATTGTGTTTAAACCCAAGAAACGGTTTTTTTTGCTAACCTTCCTTCGTGTTTCTATCAAATCAAATTTATATTTATATCTTTGTTTTTTTCTTACTTGATGAATTACACTGATGATATAATTTGTTCTATTTTTATAAACTATACCGGTTTTTTTATAATGGTTATACAGACTTCTCGGATCTTTTATCTTATTATTTTACTCATTAGAATCATTTATATCCTTGGTGACAAACTTGCTGTATCGAAGTGATGATTGTGTTTATTGAATAACTTCATTTTTTTTCCATCTAGAGATTTCTTCATTCATTTTGTGGAGTTTTTTTGGATAACTTCTATGTATCCTACCTTTTTTCTTTTATGACTGGTTTGCCAATCGAAGTGAGGATGTGAGTTTTGATTCGGAATGACGTATATGATTGGATTGGTGTTTGATTAAGTTTCACGAGAAGTGGAGAACAGTTAGATAAGCTTGGTCACTTTTTGTTCTTGTAAAAAATGTCTAGCAAAGCAACTGCCTAGATGTTGGAATTGGATTCCTCTCTGAGTACTTGAGTGTTTATTCAAATTACTGGGTCCATAGAATCTGGATAACATGTAAAGATTACCAGCTACTGAAAATACTCATATGGTGTGTAGTTCTTCATCAGAATCATACCGTATCAATGAGGCTAGCTGAACAAAAGAGCTAATTGATTTCTTTCAATTCCGTGAAGGATATGACAAATCTTACTACGCTTCAACAAACACTCTTGGTACAACTCTTACTTATACAAAATTAACTTCAAACTAAATGTTTTACAAAGGTTTCAACTCCAAAAGAAATTTTTAACTCATCAGATCCTCATCCCTAGATCTAGAAGAAGAAGAATGTGAAAGAAGAAGAGCGATCAACAAACATTTCTGAAGGTGTTATAAGTTTTGATCATCATCATTGGAGTAGCTGACTTACTCGTTTGTGCCCGATGGCAATAGGCTGGGAATCGTATGACATCAAGGTTGGGTAGCCTTTTCTTTGTTGACCGGCTTTTGCTGATCAGATTTCACAATAGTCTTAACATGTGGACGATTCCTTGGATTTCTAGATACCTCAGGTGTACGAGGTGGAGTGATTACCGTCTTACGAGAGTAAGGTTTCTTGATGACTTTGTTTTGTTTTTTCGGGATCCGACCAGAGTTGGATTGTTGTAGTTCCATTTTTGAAAGTTTTTCTGATATACTATCGTCTGTAGATCTTGAAACTGTCGAGATATCAGTTACGTCATCGTCGCCACAAAAGTGGACCGGATGAAAAAATGAAGCTACTATTTATGAATGATTTACAAAAAAAATGATCAAAGATTAGTGATGTTTGTGTAGATAAAAGGTATTAGAAGTTTGTATTTCATTACGTGGGTCTGACTGTTGTTGCGAAAGCTTGTATTCTTCAAGAGTGATTTTGCCAGAACTGGAGGTAGACTCAGTGGCGATAGATGTAGACATTTTCGAAATGATAAGAGTAAATTGTTTGGTGTCTTAAGATAAAGCCGGAGAATTGTGTTTTTTGAAAAACGTTAAAGATGTGGAAAGTGTAGGGATGGTTTTGGATGAAGAAGAAGAATTCGAAAGGGAACCCAAAAAGGGTCAGTTATTTATACCAGAGCTGCTTGCCAGGTGCCTGAATTCCAGAAAATGTCAGCGATCAAAGCGTTAACCGTTCTGTAAAATCAACAACTCCAAACCACGCGATAATAATTGTCATCACCCTACGATCTGACCAATCATCGTCCAGCATTTTGGAATGAGATGGCTGTGAGAATCGATCACGTCCTGCAACAAAAACATCACGAGGGTTCAAGCCGTTGAGCAGAATATTGAGTAGTTTGTTTCGGAATGATGATGTATGAGTTGTTCGGTCGGAATTGCAGGGGCTTTTGACTTTAGAGACACTTCAAAACAAGGGACGGGGAAGAAAATGGTCACTAAGCTTATCACTTCAGGGAAGATGAAAATTACGGATAACACGATCGCATCTGATTTGAAGTGGGTAGAGACGTGGAGTGAAGAGAAGGAAGCACAATACGATATACTGGCTCAAAATTGTTGGTGTAGCAAAGGCGTGAGTTGTTGCTCCTTGAAAGTATTTTTTGTCCATGACATTGGTATACATTCTGATTGAAGATTTCGTGTTCTTGAGTTGAGCTCGACGCAATGTAGTCCTCACATGAGTAAGTGAATTCTTGAATAGTCTTTTTGTCTATACTGATTCAATCATTTTATGCATCGTGACACTTTTTTGTTTTTGATCTTCAGATCGGACGGGGATTTGACTTTGCAGATGCCATCTATGTAGTTGGAATGAGTCTCCGTTCTGTTTGACGCGACTTTGGTATAGTTAATTGAGCTTTATTCTCGTGGTTAATGATATTACCTGGTAAAGCGGGTACTTGGATGTTAGAATTGGGATAAGTCATTCTTGTGGGCACATATAACTTGGAGCATGGATGTGATGGAAAGATTTTTTTTCATTACTGAAACTGCTTGGATGATTTCAAAATTCAATTCTTTGTTTGGAATGATACGATATCAATAAGCTAAACAAAAATTAATCAAGTTCTTTCCAACACAAAAAAGCAAAATATGCCAGCTTTTACTGCACTTCAAAAAACACTCTTGGTACAAATTTTACTGATACAAAGATGACGACACACTACTGGTTTACAAAAAGGTTTATATCAAAAAGAAAATATCAAGTCTTTATCTCTCCATCTTAAGACATTCACCTAAAGGGAAAAGATAGAAAGCAAAGAGTTGATCGGTGAAGGAACCCAACTTAGATTTGATAACATTTCGTAGGTGACTTACTCGTTTATGCGGAAGATACTGCGTTGGGTAGTTTTCCCATTGATAGTCTCCTTTTCAAATTTCGCAGTAGGATTTCTGGGTACCCTTAACATCTTCCTAGATATCTCTGGGGTACGAGGAGGCGTGATTGGCGACTTGCGATGGTAAGGGCTGACGGTGACTTTTCTTTGCCTGGTCGGCTTTTGTAAGGTGTGAGCAGGCCGTTGTATTTTTAATGCCAATAGCTTTTCTGTTATGTGATCGTCTGGCGATCTTGAAACCTTTGACGTATTGCGTTGATCATCGAATTTCGACAATCTGACCGGACGAAGAGGGCTTTTTTCTGCACATATTTTGAAAAAAAGATTAGAGGATGAGTGGTGGTTGTATGATGAGGGAAAATACAAAGTCAGTATGATTATTAATGTCCATATATAAAGATTGTGATTACCTGTATATTCTTGTGCAGATTTGATATGCTCAGTAACATTGATACTGTTAGATTCTTTAGTAGACTGGGCGATGAAGTTTGATGGAGCCATTTTTATGTTGAGTAAAGTTATTGAAGTGATTGGAGAGTGGGTTAAACAATAGATGCTTGTTTTTGAAAATTGTGATGGAAGTGGATTGATCGAGGAAGAAGTCTGAGCTATGAAGGAACTTCAAAGATTCATTGCTTTATATGAGAACTATGTGGGTGCCTGAATGCCACATAGTTATCAGTGATCAAAGCGTTAACCGTCTTATAAAATCAACAATTATGAACCACGCAATAATAATCATCATCACACTGAACTCTGACCAATCAGCATCCAGTATTCTGGGAACACGTTATAATAGATGGCTGTGAGGATCGTTCACGTCCTGCGGTGATGGGAAGCCCGGGAGGTTGAAGCGTTGGGCAAAATAATGAGTGGTTTAGTTCGGAATCGTGATGTATGACTCTGAGTTACTGGGTCAGAATTGCGGGGTCTTTTGAATTTGGGGACAACGGCAAAATATACCAGTGTGGTCATGGGCAAGAAGATGGTCACCAAGCTTATCAAGCAAGAGGAAATTGATTGATCAAAAGCAAAAGGTGTCAGTGGTAAGTTTTCTCATCCTCCTGAATTGATGATCAGAAGTCCAAGCAACCCAATAGGCCAATGCTGGGTATTGAATGTTGCAAATGATGAATGCTTCTTCGTATTGGTATGGATCACTGCCATCAAGCCGTTGTGAGCGCGTTAACCAAACCATGGCTCAGGCAAATCAGAATTCGGGAGCGAAAGATTGCATTCACCTTTTTGATTGCTCTCAAATGTCAGACTTCGCGGTAGTCTTCTCATTTCCATTGTCTTGCGGATTCCAGGAAAGAAGACCTCACGATGCAAACCAACACTTGGCAAGGACTAAAGCACGGGCCGAGGTCTAGAAACAATGATCGCAAGAAACTCGACATCTCCCGAGACACCTGAAGGAAAAATCTGGAACTTCTGAGACAAAGGGATTACAAGAATGTACATGTTCTTGCTTCAGCTTCCAAATTACCAGACGTTTTCATTCCTGTAGAGGAATACATTGACTAACTTGAATTTCAACTCGATCGCAAAATGCGAAAGTCTTATCGAATTTCCTAAAGGGATCAACTTTAAAACATTCGAGTGATTCCTCCTTGAGAACTTTCATAGAACAAGGACGATGAACGATTGATCAGAAACCTTTGATGTCCATTCCTTCAAAGAAATTGAAGATGCAAAGGCTCTTGAGGGTGTTCTATCAACAGGGAACGCAAGCCGAATGTGAACCAGGAGCGCGACCGAAACCTGAAACACGACCAAACTCGAGACGTGCCTCTATGACTCATCATACCAATCAAACTACGGCAGCATCATAAGGAATGATCAATCAACCTTCAATCTCAAGAAGATCGAAGAGACCGTCAGCCCTCGATTTTGATCTTCCACCTCCGACAACCTAACCAGCTCCACCGCCAACTCTGGAACCGGCTATCTTCCAATCAATCTTTACTACCAAACCTGAAAAATATTACTCGCATCTATCCGGCGTAGATATCCTGCGGGCTCTACTCACTGATAATAAAACCGTTGCTCGTAGCTCATTCTATTATATTTACATAATTTCTACAAACCATCCAAGAGCCTTAAACAGAGCATTCTTCTATGGGGTCCAGGTAAATGAGAAATATACAGATCAAACTCATTCAATTTTGGGAATTTGAAATTGTTGAAAAATCTCAAAGATGAGTATGTAGAAAGAAAATCGATTTGTGAAATTGAAATTGAAGATGAAAGTGGTGCTAGCTTGTCAATTGGTGTCCTGAAATTCCTTTAAAACCAAAGCTTCAAAAAGAGGCAGATTGAAGGCAAAGAAAATCATGAATTTGAATCTTTCAATCATCCAATTTCCTATAATGTTTGGAGTTGGCATGAAATTCTTGAGAAAGGGATCTTCGAGACAGAGTGGTTAGCAATGGAAAAACCAAAAAAAATTGTAAGATATCAATTTTATGTTTCAATTCTTTGACTGATGTTTCTGTTTTCTCAAACAGTTTTGAAATGGAAGCAAAAGGTTCATTTTCAATCAGAACAAAATTTATCACCAGTGTCAAGAGTCAGACCAACATCCTTGGAGAAAAAGCTAGAGATCCATCAATTTTCAGAATCATTGACATTGGAAACCATTTTACAAACTCTACTATCATTTGAACTCTTTCCAAAACCGTGCTCACCATATGAAATCGAATTCAGTTACGGGATACAAAGTTAAAACTGGGAGTTTTTTCCCGGTTCCCAGTTTTCAAAATACAGCCAAAAACGCAAACTGGGAAACTGGGAGAACGTGGGAAAGTTCCAAACACAGCCAAAAACGAAAACTGGGAAACTGGGAAAAAATCCCAGTTTTAACTTTGTATGTATCCCGTAAGTATAGCTCATAAAATAAGTCAATTGATATTTTCTGATACCATGTTCCTTGCAGAATAGCTTGTTTGGAGATCATCAAGTGTTTGGAAGAACCAAAGGAAACATTAGTCTTTGAGAATTCTAGAGGGCGCTTAGAATGATCAGCTCCTGCATTCCTAGGAATAGGATCTCAAGGGTTTCAAGCCGTTGGAGCGGATATTGAGTAGTACCTCAAGTGGTTGCCGAACAAAATAATCTTGTCAAGATTGTACCAGTCAAAAGGAAAGTAACTCATAAACAAGATCATCTCATATTCCTAGAAACATGACAAATCTGCGCTAAATACGGGTCAGCTTCATCTTGATGTGCACCACAGAGGCAATCATTGTGTGCATTTGTTTTCTTGACACCAACATTTTCCTTGATAGAGAGTGGTTAAAATTGATGACTGCAGTGGGAGTCGGACTGTAAATGATCACTCTCATTGTGAGTCTTGAAAAAGATATACTTTCTTGGAATGACATTGATTCTCTTAGTTGACTTGAGACACTGAAGGATTCTCAACGGAGGAGATGTATCCTCTAGCTATCACATCTTCCTCAGCAGATAATGTTACTAAATGTCGCTCACATAGTAGATATCCTGAGGACTCAAGAGATGAACCTGGTCAGATTCATCCTCAAGTATGACTCGGGCTACATGATAAGATCTGAACACTTTTCAGGATCAGAAGTATCATCACTTGAAATGGTTTACAGCATTGTTAGTAAGATGGACAGAAATCAATTGATTTTGTCTAATCTGACGAGGTACATAACATACCCAGCTTTTATTACACTTCAACACTCTTGGTACAAATCTTAATTAAGAATACAAATTTGACTACACTTCAGGTTTTACAAAATTAAAAATGAAAAGTGAACTCCAATCCATTTCATCTTTTCAAAAGTCACTACATAGAAAAAGGGAATGAACAGAAGGGATAAGATGATCAGTAAAGCATATGAATGCTTGATGAATCCTGCCAGCAATTGGGTCATGTAGATGACTCACCTGCTGATAACCGTTAGCTCATTACTTGCTAACTTTGCCTACGTTCTTAGGATCCTTGTTTTCTGCTGTCGTAGAGCAATTGTTTTGGCTCCTGTGGCGCCTGGGTTCCTCGGGTGTACGAGCTCGAACAAACTTAGGCTTTCGATAATAGGGCGTTACACTGGGTTTCTTTTGACAAGCTGGGAGCCTGTAAGACTGAGGAGATTTTTGTAACGTCATTTCTTCAAGCTTTTGTAACAGACCATTCGCCTTGATCATCGAATTTCTTGCTGCGTTACTTCTAAAATCGTTTTCCGTATAACTAATCATATGAAAAACACCAGGACCTGAGAATGTAGGAATATCAAATCCAGTGATGATTGAGAGAAGACAGAAAATCATTAGCTATTATTCAAATATTTATTTTGATATTTGACCACCATAATTACCTATGAAGGAGTTTGTTTCTGTATGAAGCAAGTTTGAGGTCAGTCTTTAAATGTCAATATTAATATCAGTCAAGGGTAATTACCTATGCATGATTGTGGACTCTTGAGGGTCTCTGGAACATTATCATGTTTGGATTGTGAGGTAGGCTGAGACAGATTGTTAGACAAAGACATTTAGATAAAATATCAGGAGCTGGTTAAGGTAATAGATAGTCGGTATCTTGCAAATTGTTGAATTTGAGTAAAGTGGATTGGTTTTACGTGAAGAAGAAGAAGTTATTGATGAGGGAAAGTCAAAAGATCAGTTGGTTTGATACCAGAGGCTAGCTTCTTGGGTGCCTGAATTTGACATTTTAAGATTTCAAGCAATCAAAGCGTCAACCGTCTTATAAGATAGACAATTAAGAACCGCACAATAACAAATTATCTTCACACTAAAATCTGGCCAATCATCATTGATCATTCTGGTAAATGCGTTCCAGATGGCTGTGATGATCACGTCCGGATTGCGAGGGTCAAAAATGTCGAGTAGTATCTTTCGGAATCATGATGTATGAGTCTATGAGTTACTCAATCCGAATTGCAAGGTTTTTGAAAAAGACACTAAAGAACATATTCTGAGAGGTGGAGCAGAGTTAGGTAATATATGCTCTTCCATATAAAATTTGGCCAGCCTGAGCCATCCTTGGCTTCAATGTCTATGTTTCAAGAGTGCAAAAATAAGATCATCACATTTGTCAGTCAAGAGTAAGACGACAGGAGACCGTAACACCACCACATCGGATTCGTCAAAACAGGAGGTGTCCGCTGTTGAGCTTGAGGTCAAGTTCAGCGTACACATATGATTAGATTTGACTTCGAGGGCTTCTATGGATTAAGTACCAAGCTTTTTTGGAAAAGGCTTCATGGGAAGTCAAAGTCGCTGATATATGAGTATTCTGAATTTGACTATGATCCAAAGTATGAGTTGCACCCATCTGAAAATGATCCATCTTTGGTACTGAAATCTGTCAGAGGCCATGAAAATGGTATGATAAAGTACATAACCAAGATCCAAGCTGGATGGCACTCTTCAGAAACAGTTATCAGAGTGTTTTTGAGAAGGATGGATGAGTGGTCAAGAGTATAAATTGAGAAGTGAAGTGTGAAGGGTGAAGTGAAAGTGACTTGGGGCAAAAACCGAATAAGAAATCGTTTGGGGGATTTGGTTTTTGGTTTTTTAGAATTGTGTAACGGTTAACCTCGCTCAGCAAGCTCGCGACGGAATTTGTTGACCTTCGAAGTGGTTGTCATGAGCACAGACCACTACAATTCATTCGAACCTCAAGAATCAAGTATCAAGATAACCCTCCAAACCGTCAAGGACAAGACTATCCTTTGATCATTCGATTCCTGCTCCGATCTAATTCCCTTTCAAATGACTTCACCATCCAATTCGAATTCACAGTCAAGACGTAATGGATCTACATCTGCTACCACACCTTTCAATCCAACGGCTTCTCACGGGGCAAGTTCATCCACCGCTTTCTCTCCTCCAGCCAATTCTGGTTATCGTGCCAGTGGTAGTTCTCAAAGTACTAGAAGCAGCACAAGCGTATGTGATTTTATCTTATCTTGATCGCAAACCAGACAATCAAGTGGATATGTTTGTTTCCTTGAAACCTTTTCCACAGACTGCTATCAATCCACTCACCTCTTCTCATATGGAATCTACTGTGACTCGATTATTGGTCGCAACTAAGCAGCTACTTGAAAGTCTCACTGATTGGTCGCATGGTAGGATCGATGAAAGTTGTGTATCTGATATTTACGTAAGATTAGGGAATGAGTTTAATGCTGCAAGTCTAGCATTCTCCAAAGAAGGTATTGATATGAAGTTGGTCAACATCATCTCCACCTGTCTTCTAAGATCCGATTTACTTCTCTCGGTTATCGATCTGATGATCGTACTATCTCTTGATTTCTTGTTAGTGATTTAAATTCGGTTCCAGACGATTTACGAAATTGTCTCGAAGCAGCTTTATCTGAAGATGCCTCACCTATGACATTAGAACAGCACTTACCTCAAATACGACAGATTGTAGTTCATTTACTTCAAGGGTTGAAAGTCAAACAATCAAAATGGAGGGCAGCTAAACGACAACAAGAAATCGATCAGGCTCATACCTCCATAGGCTCTCTTCCTAATCGACCTCCCGGTCGTGATAATCTTCCTCCCGATCGTCCAACTGGAGCTTATCCGTCTTCTGTTCGGGCTATTCCTGTTAGTCGAACTTTATCTGCGGCCAAAAGTCGAGAAGATCTTCGGAGGAGTGCAGTCAGCTCCTCACCCAATGCTCAGGATTTTCATCGATCATCACGACCAGCTAGTCCTGGACTATACTCGGCTTCACGATTACCTACGGTTGACTCCGCTCCATCAAAATCACATGACCCCAGCCGAATCAAAAGTTCTAGTGAAGCAACTGGTCCTGAATCTTCTACTGGTACCTCTTCAAAGCCGCGAGTTTCACCTGTCAATCGAGCAGTTCGATCAGTGAATGAATTTTCAGAACGATTGAGAGGTAACAGAGCCTCTCCTCCACCCCCAGGTCCACCTCTACCGACCAACACGGCTAGTGCTTTTCATAATGCAAGCAATCCAGCTACCTATGCTATACCCATACCTCCAGTTCCACCACCACCACGGCCGGATCATCTAGCCCAAGCATCGTCACTTGAAGCGCTACGGAAGACTGACACCTTACAACGAAGGGCTTCTAAACGGTTTTCTACCTATACATACAACAAGATCGCAGCCACTACTTCACCTCACAAAAGGTCTGGTGAAGGTCAAGCAACCCACGGACTCGGCATCAATGTTCCCGCACTACCCCGGTCTCCAAGTCAAATCGCACTCTTGGTACCTCGAGATGATGATGATGGAGCTCGAGAAGCGACAGAAGCAGGTAGGGAGCTGGTACGAAGGGCTAAAGGTCCAACTCGATCAGACCAGGAAGAGACTCCAGATACTAGGACTAGAAGTCCATCACCTGTATCACGTTCTAAGAGTAGCAGAAAGAGTTAGTGATATACCTCTCGGTAACTGTTCCTACCGATCAAGCTCTGCTCTCTATGCTTGGAAGAGGACTACTGACAAGTTGATGTGGCTTGATCTGATTATACAAAATTTCAGATACGGATCCCGAAATGCCCAAAGACAGGGCGCCTATCTCGCCCATTCTTGAGGAAACAGACACAAGTATTCATATTCAACTTTCTACACCATTAGGCTCTCCTACTATGCGAACCACACATCTACCAGTTACGAGTACACCCAATACAAATACTATCCATTCTAGTACAGCTCAAGATTCACATACGAGTACTACGCCTACAATCTTTCTTCAGCTAGGTAGAGATGTTAAGAAGGCAAAATTAGAAACATCACCTACGATTGCATCTTTGAGGATACTTTTCATGGAACGCTTTCAGTATAGTCCTGGACTCGACGATTTTCCAACGATCTACATTAGGGATCCTCAGTGTGGTGTTCAGTATCAATTAGAAGATATGAATGAGGTAAAAGATCGGGTAGTTCTTAGCTTGAATATTGATGGTATGTCTTATTCTCTCAAATCTGGTGATATACAGCCTCAATTTACTTTATCGATTTTTTTTGATTGGCATCAGTCTTGGATCAAGTGAAATCGCACATAGATACAGGTCTGTCAGGATTGGCTAGGGAATTGAAGGATCTTAAATCATCAATCACTACCCTTCGACGTCAATCTGTTAGTGCTGCTGCCTCAAATTCGTTTATGATTGATAATCATTCTACTAGCGCTTCACCTGCATTACGACCTACGGATTCTCAATTCAAGAATGTGGCACGACATATGCTACAACGTGTGAATACTGGTCAAAGTACCTCCACTGAAGTTGCTTCTATTGCACCTCGAACTATAACCGAAATTCCTATGGCTACAGTCACTTCACCTGTTGGATCACCTGCTCAACCTAACTCGGCTGTTAGTTTCTCAGAACTTAGGTTACAACAAATCTCAAGTACATTTAAGAATCAGTTTACAGAAGTACAAGATTTAAGACGAGAGCTTGGAGTGTTAAGACAGATGTATAGTACATTTAGTGGAGAGACTAAAGATATGATTGGTACACTTCGATCACAAGCAGAACAAGTGAAACAAGTAGCATCTACTAAGATTGCAGCACCGCGGACTTCAATTAATGTAGGAAAAGTTAAACTTGAGACTCGTAGTCAAGATTTAGTGACGAAGATTGAATCCTTACAAGATACAGTAGAAGATTTAAAACAAGATGTTACTAATCGAAAGATCAGACCTAGACCTGCCACGATGAAATCAGTAGCTGAATCGATCAATGCGGTGAATTTAGATTTAGAAGAACTTACATCCCAAATCACTCAATTGAAACCATCATGGAAGAAATCATGGGAAGAAGAATTACAAAACATAGTAGATGAACAACAATTATTGAATTATCAAGAAGATTTAGTGAAAGATTTGAAAGAAGATTTAACGGCCGTTTCAGGATTGTTTGGACATGTTAAAGATTATTTAGACGTAAGAAAAGTCAGTAAGTTCAAACCTAGAGAGTTTATTCCGATTGGTAATAACAGTTTTGGAGGAGGAGGAGGATTGAATTCGATTGGAGGTAATCCTAGGGATGGATTAGATACAGTTTTAATGCAAGTCAAAGCCTTAGAACCTAAATCAGAACCTAGATTGAAAGCCATTGAAGCAGCGGAAAGGATGAGAGAAAAGAATTTAAAGGAATCAGGGAAAGATGATGAGTTTGCGATCGAATTAGCCGGATTTGTGGGAGGCAAAAAGTTAAAGATGACAGGTGGTACAGAAGAAACTGAAAGGATGAGAAAGATTAAGTCTGAACAAACTTTAAAGGCTATGATCTTAGGAACTGGGATGAATGAAGTCGTTGGAACTGGATTAGGATCGGTTCCTTTACCTAATAGTTATCATGGACCTATAGAACTTGGAGCACCGGCAACAGCAACAGTAACAGGAGCTGTTATAGGAGTTGAAGAAGTTGAAGGATTGAAGGAGGCTATTGTTTTGGAAGAAGAAGGAACAAAGGAAGAGAAAGTTGAAGTCGAAGGAGACGGTGAAGTAAAAGAAGAGAAAATCGAAACACCAACAGAAGTAGAAGTAGAAGCAGAAGTAGAAGGAAAAGGAGAAGAGAAAGGAGAAGTAGAAGAAGAGAAAACTTAAAAGAGAGAAGAAATGAAAGATAAAAATGAAAACCAAACATGTGTAAATGAAATATATATCCGAATTTAAAGTTTTGATGAAAGAAAATAAAGTTTTAGATGTTTGAATTTTGGTTTTGTTTTTTGATACTGTTTATCTTTTATTTTCTTTTAAAAATCTTATATGTTCTTCTTATCAAGTTTTTTTTTCCATTTGCTTGTTAATATCTTATATATTTCTTTTTTGTGTACTCTATTTGAGGTTTTTGAGGGTTTGATTACCTTCTCTCTATATATATATATTTGAGAGTCAAAATGGATAAAGAAAGGTAAAGGGAGTTGGGTATGAAGAATATTATTTGCTCTAGATATATATACAATGTAGATGATGAAATTATTTGAAAGCAAGTTAAAGATTTTGAAAGTTGAAGTATAGTTTAATATTGGATTTGATAGAATTGTTTAGAAACAAGGATTGGTTTGGTTTGGTTTTGGATAAAGACTTCTTTGTATTTGTAACAGTTTCATCAACAGATTGTTCATTCAAGAAAAGTTTGAACTCATCAATTCAAGAGGTATACATCATCAAGATTTTGTTTAGGGAGAATGGATGTTGGACTTACTTATGGTTTTGGTTTGCTGGTTGATGAACTGGTGTATATTTCAAGCATGGTCTTCATAGGTTTCTCAATGTGGAAGTTAACTTCTGGACGCATAGTTGACCCAGAGACAGTTGAAAAATTGGTTGTCTAGCTAAAATAAGTTGTTCTTATGTTGACAGAAAATGAAAAATGAATGTTCATAAGATTGTACCACCTAACTTGTGAGGAATATTGCAGTTTTGGTTTGTTCCATTGCAAAACAGTTACTGAGAAAATATATTGATACATACAAGATTTCAGATCTCATTATCTTCTAAATGAAATCATGTAATTACGTCCTACATAACCCAGATCATTCTCATTTTGAAGTTTTTGGATGATCCTTTTTGAAATGCTTGAGGGGATGCACGCAGCAAGTGAACTTTATACCATAGAACTTGCGCTTCTTGCTCAACACACTATTTTTGGCACCAGTTGTAAACATCGAATTTCTTAATTACAATAAGCTACTCACCTCTTGTGCTCAAAGAATATGTCATTGAATTGAAATTAGGAAAGCTCCTTAGTAAATACTGTCAAGTTTGGCATATAAATTCAGATTTACAACTACATAATGGTTTATCTAAACAAGTGTTGCCCAAACAATGTTGAGCACATACTACTTGTGTAAGGTTTGATGATATGTAAGGCTTATCACTGAAATGTGTTAACCATCTGAACAAGGCTTAGAAAACTTTTGCATCTCACCTGCACCTCAGTAAAGAAGGAAAGCAGTTTCAAAAAGTTGTTTTCCTCCATCCCCTTCAATATCAAGTGCTTCACGGATTTGGTAAAGTAAAGTCCATGTAAGGGCAAATCTATGAGGCCCACCAAGTAATATAAGCCATGAGTTACTGATAAGCTACCCAAATAAAAATGTTTAGTTTTGTGATGTGGAAAAATTCAAATCATGAATAAAGATGGTGAGTTGAGATTATAGACTTTTCACTCAGCATTGCATGTCAAATACAAACTGTTTGAAGGAAAGATGAATGATCAAAGATAATCTGAGGACAAGCCATGAATATATTTAATTTCAGAAACTCTAATGGGCAACAATTGAAAAATATGATTGTGAGTGGTATCTTCACACAAAAAAGATCCCCTTTATATACCAGACAAATACATACCAAGATCAGGCAAAATCTGTTTGAAATGCACCTTGTATGGGAAAATCACTAAAATTTAAAAGCATCAAGGGATTATTGTGTTGACCAATGAATATCAGTATCATTAAGCATGCGCAACAGCACCAAAAAAAACTCAAAAACCAATGCTTGTATGGACCACAATGCAACAAGTCCTGTTGCGGTCAGAAAAAATCCCCAATTCCAAGCACCTTGTTGCACGTTGGGGTGGCCTGCAACCTTTACGTAGAATTTGTGTGACAGTGCGGCACGTAAATTCTGCAACATACCAGCAGCACAGCACACAACAGCTGTGTTGCTGGCCCAGGGTTGATCAGTGGTAGCTCACAAAGATCAAGCCTCAAGGCACATCAAGATGGTCAACAGCAAGCAGGTAAGTCAAGAGCTGGTTGTCCTTGCTGCCAGCCAGCCATTCTGGTAGGAGCCAAGAGACCTCTGACCAACTACAAACTATGTGCCAAATGTCTCAGGCAATATCATCTGCCATCTCTCGTGTCCTTTATCAACTCACTGCCCCTGTCTTTGAACAAGACCCTCAATCAGGTACTTGCTGTGTGGCAAGTAGCACACACTTTTCCCTTCATATGAATCAAAGATCCCTCCTCAACTTCACAATCTACTGGCTTTGCCCAGATGCAAATGTTTTTGGTTGTGAATGGTCAGCTGATGAGGCCAAACATTCTTTGTTATACTCCATGTGATCTGGTCATTGAAAAAGCGCTCAAGTTATTAAATGTCTTCACTCTTTACATTTTCATGGCTCTCTCTTTTTGACTGATACTTTGTTCTTCAGCTTGATGTTTCATAGGAATTAGATAGCACAATCTATTTGATCCAAGTCATTTTGACTGTTAAGGGTAATTAGAAGGCTTCTATCAGAGCATGAGTCTCCTACATCAAGAAAGCCTGGTCCTACATTGTTTGGCATCTAGGGTTAAAGGTTGTGGCATGCCATCACCAGGGACACTTACTTGTTGAGCCAATGGTGGCCATGTTGAAAAAGAACAATCTCTATCAAAAGTTGAGTTCTTTTGTGATTTGATTATTTTACTATTTCCTTTCCCTTTCTTTATTTCCTTTCGGAACTCCATGGGTGCCGTCATACCTCTTGCAATCCGTAGTGATGCGTTGTGGTGCGATGTTGAAAATCCGGAGTTGGTGATCGAAAAGAATCAAATTTTGAAAATTTGAAATCCAGAATCCGAAATTTGAATCCGTATGATGTGCTACCGGAGATACTGCTCTGGCTTGAGCGTGGGTTAGACGACTTACGTTGAGCTCACCGACTGCGATCTACTTGCCCTGGTCTGCGGGATCTGCGAACGCAACTGATTTGCTCATGACCGCCCTTGACCTCAGTCCTGTGTGTGTCTCAGCATGATTCGTTAAGATCCCAACTGACACAGCCATTCAAGCCCATTATTATTTCCTTTGAGCAAGAGATATATATATTCTGATATATCATTTTTCACTACAAATAGTCTGACTTCAATCCCTGAAGACTCATCTTTCAGCATTCTCGCCCCTTGCGCTAAACTTCACACCCCCTTCTTGATACAATTCATTCTTTCCAACCATCATCTTGATATTGATCCGCACTAAACCTTATAATCACTTCGACTCATCATTAATCCTATCCTGTTATCCCTACACGCTCAAATTTGAAATCATGGTCTGGCATTGCTTTTTCCCAAAATCGTCAAAGTATGATACTGGTAGTAACCTCAAGTGGCCAAAGAAGAAACTGACTGGATCAAAATCAGCCATGAAGAAGTTTGAAAACCTCAAGAGTTTGATTGGAAGTCCAAAAGATTTCATGCACTATCGATCTAAGGGTCCAGAGCAACCCGGTATGCAGGTGAGACCTTTTCCACCTTATCTTGATTCTCAGATGGCACCTTTCCTGTGCATCTCATTCTTGAATTGCGTTTAACTGATACCTGCGACTGGATTTGATGATGCAGCCTTACACTAATTCCGGCTCTCCGAGGTTCTCGTGTATAGTTGTTAACACTTCGAGGCCGCAGACTCCAAGTCGGGAGTCTGCGAGGTACACTGAATCACCCATTTCTTTCTCCGGAAGCGACCGACCGCAACCTTCTCCTGACAAGCTGGCCAGCAGTCAAACAGTCATCAAAATAAAGCGAAAATCAGTCCCTGTATACAGCCAACTCGAAATTGAACAACTCGAGACTAAAAAAGCGGAGGCAACTAGAACCACTTTGGCTGAGGTCGCGGAGGTCGCAGAGGTCGCGGAGACGAACGAGAAATCCGAGGTCCCCTTGGATGCGAGGGGTAGACCTTTACATTGTCTTGGAGGGGTTTGTGGTTTTTTCATTCTTCTTACCATATCCCTCTGCAGCAAGTTGAGATTTCCTTGAAACCCTTTCATTAGGAATACATGACTCAGACAGCAAAACTCAATTGGGATGAGCAGATGGCAGCAATTGCGAATGCACTCAAAGAAGGATCCGACGAACCTGATTTTCTCAAGAACCTTTGACAAAAGTTCAATATAGGAACGGTTTTACTATCTCCCTCAAATTCTTTCTCGGCTATCCTCAGCAGTGTTCGAGAAGGTCATTTCCACGACTCTTCTCTCCCATAATGTTATCACTAAATAAATCTTCTTCTTGTATAACGCTTTATTTTTGACCACTGCGCTCGTTTACTTAATCACACATCTTTACCACAACATTGTTATTGCATTTGAAAATCAAGCATCTGACTGTGTGTAGCCAGTTGTTATCTTGTAAGAATGATGTTCACGACTCTAAACGAGAGCATATGTATCAATTTCGAGGAAACTCATCATTAGAAAAGTTTCTTGACCATCCAATCATCTACTTTCTGAGCTCTGTAAAAGTATTCTTGTCCACAAGAGCTGGGGCCAGAAGGACCTACATGCTAGCTTGGTTCTCACCTAAATGATCATGCAAAATAAACTGTCTATCAGCTTATCTTCTCTTTGATGACAGAGTAGCCGTATCACTCAAGCTTCGAAGACCATTTGACATACCCTGAGGCGGTGATATTCTTCTTCAGCTTTGTTGAAGAAGCATTTGATTTCTTGACAGAACACATTTCATCCAACAAAGTGTAGACATGACGTCACTTATCAAGTCTCAAAAATCTCAATGTTTTGTTACATACATCTCGCTACCATTTTTCTTTGTTGAGATCAGGAACATGTATCTATCTCCAGATTTTTTTGATAATGAGTCTGGTTATCCCAGACGGCTCCACACGGTTCGCCAAGCGTCTTTAGACTTTAGTCTGGTGGGCAAAATTGGGCAAACATTTTCCTGCATGCAGAGTTATACATGTCCCATCACACAACGCTTATTATATACAAGTATCTCGAAATGCGTATGTACAAATGCAAAATTGTACAGAATAATGTACTGAGGAAACGAAAGATGTGGTTGGTTCAGATAGGAAGCTTGGCGACTTTCCGGCACACTTGTACTGTGTTCATATCGTGGTCATCCGATCTATACTCTGCAGCAGTTGAAGATGTAACGATCAGAAGTCTTTTTTCACAGATGATCATCAAAGCACAGATATGATAACTCACTCGTTAGATCACATACGGGTAGATTAAACAGGCAGGAGGAGTCCGTGTCGTATGGATGTGTTCTGTTTCAATCATGGTTTAATGGTCTGATCAGAAAACCCGAGTGACAGATCTAGGTCGTTTGAAATCGAGCGTTTTTTCATTCACTTGTGAAAACTCACGTATCCACAACTGTCTTATGTTCATACTCTCCATATTTTTCTTGACATTTCCAAGCGATAGTAGTCAAGAGTTCGGTACTGATTCCATATTTTTCAAAGATGAGCGAAGCGTGATAAAGCGGCTTTTCTTGATCCTTATCCGCAATCACAATGTTCATCATGCTAAAAAAATCGGAGTGGCACATATACGGAATGATGTGAGCCAAGATGCGGGTTGCTGGATAAGAGTGGTTTAGGGATCAACATACATTCCTGAACTATCACAATATGAAAGTTGGTCGTTGCCAGCTCGTGAACCACCTGGACCATCACCATTACACGGTTCCTGTGATGAACGTAAGTCAGAGGTCAGTTTGAAGGTAGAGTGTAGTTCGGAACATATGGCTTAAAGGCTTACGCTTCCTCGAGTGATAAAGGCGTTCTGTGAATTCAAAGACAGAATGTTAGATTCAAGATCACACTAGTTTATTAGGCTATTACGATGAAGACACTGACTTGTATCCTCAAGATATGTTTAAGAGCTTTGAGTTTCAATGTAGTTTCCAATCGCGTCTGAATTTCGTTCTCGGATTGATTCGCAATCTCTTCAAACATGGTTCCATTCTTCGAGATGCCATACAATCCTTTTTCAGAGCTGATCGGAGAATCGATTATAGCTTGAGTATAATTGGTGAGTGCGGCCTGCAAGTGACTCTGAAAATCTTGCAACTTATATATCGATTCTGACCACTGCGAAAGTACATCGATACCCACAACATGGTCAGAACCTTTGGCGTCTGCTTTAGAAACAAGTGGTACAAAAACATACCCGGGTGAACTTTTGTGGATCGGGGACTTCGAGATTAGCCATGATCCATGTGACGGCCGGACCGACATACATTCCACCAATCAACATCATCCAGAGTATCTTCCCAGCGCCTACTCCAAAGACAGCTGCCGGTGTTCCGGTGATTGCTGCAGCTAAAACACCGGAGTAAACTGCCGCACAAGTCCAAAAGTTCGAGGGGTCTGGAATCAAATCGTCAATCTGCGTTCAAATATTCACAGAGTGTCAAGTCAGAAAATCAACGTAAGATTGATGCCTTCTTAGTTTTCCAGGCTTACCATAGTGGGTGTTATGTCTGAGGAGATGAATGAAATTTTTCAGAATCAGCATCAGTTTAGCTGAAAAAGAAAAATCGATCAATGAAAGGATCAGATTGGAGAATCACCTGAAACAATACCAATTGCATAAGCCGTCGCTTCGTAGATTTGGTTGTTAAACGTATTCCAACGATGAGCCGAAGCTAAAGCATACCAGTCTCTACCATCTGAGCCCGCGCAAATCTGATGTTCAATGAGTCAGAATCAAAGTCCAAGCTGAATTCTTATTAGTGTGGATGTGTAAGAATAGCTAACCTGAGAAGGACTACACTGAGTTCCAATCCCGCACTGGAAATTCGTCACGCCTACTTGATCTGCATAACCCTAAAAGCGATAACATGATTATAAGTCTTTGGGATGAAAGCTTCCGGAAGCTTGAGAGGTGTGAGACGAAAACTGAACTGGCAAAGTGAGGTTATTACCACCAGGGTAAGACCTCAAATAATCATCCATCTTCATCTCATTCCAAAGCCTCGGAGTCAAGGGTTTCTTCAAGCAATGGCCTAAATCGTCTTGCTGGGACAGATGTAAGGTAGGCCGAGGCGTAGATGCGGTGTTATCCACATGTATGATCTCATAGTCATAATTACGTCGGGTTAGATGTGTAGCGGGGCTTGGAAGAGACCTTGTTGAGGGAAGTGATGTGGTGATAGTGATTGAAAGGATCAAAATTGTCTGAATGAAATACATGATACTGACGACAACAACAAAGGAGATAAAAATAAATAATGAATATGATTATGCTTCAAGAACCAAGAAAGATGATAAGATGATGATTTAGAAAATCTTGACTGGGTAGGTAGTGAGAAAGATGCTTTGACTTTATGCGCATCTTCATTCTCGAACTTAGCTTACATGGTCATCTCTCGACACTCCATGCTCTAATCTGTCTCATTTCGAATTTCATTGGTTATCGAAGTTCATGGTCCTAAAGAAGTGATGCTGATAAGGAATCAAATTCTGAGACCGAGTTTCGGTGAGCGATAACTTATACTTTGCCTTACTTCTCATCCCGGAATTTTAGTGATGTAAGCTGAAACATACCACTTTCTAGTCTAGGCGCACACCAACACCATCACATCCTTATCGGTGAGGTCGACCAAAATTTCTGACCATAAGAATACTCGCGATGTCTCCTTCTAAAGTCTGTTATGATAACTGATAAGGAAGGTCTGTTCAATCAACAAGGGGTAGATAACATTAGTTACCTAAAATCTTTGGTCAGTCACGTCTCATCCATCTCACATCTTCATCCTGAAGCCAGTAAATATCTCAAAGTCTGCCAATTAAAAGACAAACGGAAGAGGAATTACTTTATCTTGTTTGATAGCGCTGGACACTAAACCCCCTCCTGTTTTGCCCGTTCAGCATATCGATGTCAACTTTCTGTTGGCAACGCGTAGTATCATCACCCTATGGGCGCTAGTCATTCATCCTGTCCCGTCCTTCAGCCCCAGGTTTCTAAACAATTTTGAACTGTAAATATCGGAACAGGTGATTGGTTTTGTGATCTGGTTGGTCAGCAGCATCAATTTGTGGTTGGTAACTTGGAGAGCACCAGAGGATTGCCGGAGATTGGGAATGGGATGGGAATGGGAATGGGAGCTGTATGAATGAATGGGCATACAGGAGTTGGTCAACACCCAATTGGTCTGCACTTTTCTTTTGAAACATCCAACAAAGCGCCACACCGTTGGCTTCGTGTATATGTATGTACACAAAGTTACGTTCTTTCCAATGATCACCGAGCGTTGAAAGGATTTGCAGTTCCAGAGCAGGAGCATCATCAACTCATACCCGCTTCAAAGCAACATATCGATCGAAATCGATGAGGCAAACAAGCAAAGCTCTCGGATGTATTAGTTTGAAAAACGATGTTTTTTTGACTAAACACTAATGGCTCAATCGAATATTATAAGCTGAGATAATCAAAAATGACTCAAGATCGTAAGGAAGAAACCAGTTAAGAGCGTACGCTAGACCAAACAGCACCACCAGCTTGTCAAACCAAGGATTGGCCTGTCTGAATTTCAGAGCACTTCAAGTGAGAGAAACACGATAAAGAAAGTAGAACAAGTCATTTGATCGACTCTCTTCCGATCAAATTCAGGTTAGTCTTGTCCTCAGAACGTTCTGATCAATGGCGCTTGATCGATGCTGATTAAAAAGTGACAGCTATCGAGGGTTTTTCATCCGGCTCTCCAGTAGGTCCTTTCATTTGCAACCCTTTACAACCCCTATAACTCAACTTAAGTCAGAGAAATCATCTGAAGAACTTGGAAGACTCTGATTTTGATGTTATGATGGGTCTGGTCAAGATTATCGAAATGTAATGTAGTCTTATGTCGCACGCTCCATTGTTGTACTCAAAATGCATTAAAAACATATGCAAGGTATGGTTTCTATGCCGGCCAATGGGACGAATGTTTACAAAGAAGGATGTGTATGTGCTGCTCAGCCTAAACCTCTGGACTGAAACATGGCGGTGAGTACAGGCTCATACAGCCCATTCCCATTCCCGCGATTCCCAACCTCCGGCAGTCCTCCAATTCTCTGGAGACTTGTTATTAACTTTTGGGAACGGGATAATTCGGACTTCTACATATGTAATCGGGACTGACATTTTCGGGTACCTTTCAGCTTTTCTTGGCTTCACGGAGATCATGACAGTGCTGTTGACCACCATCCAAATCTATCCCCGTTGTGTTCACTTTTGTCGACAAATGTTTCTTTTTCCTATTCATCTTCCATTACATGTTGCGTCCCACCCTCCTCTGATCCCTATTTATTATTCTTTTCAGTTTATTATTCTATGCTATTCTAAGATATTATGTTATTGATGTGCTTATTTTTTCAACTTTTTTCAGTACAGCTGTTCATTATTGTAAAAGAAGGATGGAGCACTATTTTCAGATTATTGTTTACTTTCTTTCAAATCCTATTACTGCTTATTATTATCTTGACTATTTGTAACGTAGTAGTTTCATTTGCCTTATAATTTTTTCTTACATTTATCTTTTTCTCTACAGTGCTCATTCTTGTTAGGTGTTTTTCAATCTTATGTCCGCTCGCGCCCCACAGGGTGTTGTTATCATTATTAAGAAAAATTGGTCTCACATTTCTTTTTTAAGTGCTTTTGGCTCAATTGCACACTACACTAACAAAACAAATACAACTGAAAAGGACTGATACACCTGAGAAGAATGGCCATCTAGTCAAGAACTAGGATTTCATTGAATTTTGGATAGGTGGGATGGAGGTAGTAAAAGTCTGATTTCCAAGACAAGAGTCCTGTTCCATTCTTTTAAGGCATACCCTCCATGTTGGAAGCAGGTAGTGTTGTGAAAAAACAGTCATGAGCATACCCTTGATCAGTAGGGCTGTAAGTCAGACCTGAGCCTGACTGGCCAACTCTGCCCATTGATATTTTCAACACTCACAGTCCGCACTGAGCCTAGTCACAAACTCCCTATGGTTATGCCAGCGGCCCTGCCTTCCCAGTGCTCATTGTTTTCTGTACACTGCCAGTGTTAAAAAGGTTCCTGGATGAGAATTTGGGTCCTAGGTATTTCATTCCCCTTCTGTTACTGTTAAACAGCTTCATGAATATTTCCCAAGTACCAATTCTGATATATGCAGTCAAGTTCAACAACACTTGTCTCAATTTGAACAAAGTTAGAGATTGTATTTCATGTGATTTGCTTATCCAGATGAGCAGATAACTCAGAGGACCTGTATGTAGCTGATAGCTATGTACAGTCAACCCCGCGCAATTGCATACCCACGCAACTGCATAATCAGCCTTTTTGCATAGGCCAGGACTTCCCCCGACTTGGTGCGGGCTAAAAGTTGGATTCATTGCATAATTTTGTCAAAAATGATAATGCATAAGTCAAAACCCCAAAAAACCGGGTCTTGGAAGCCCAGTTGCATAGCTTTTACTCAAAATACAGGATAAAAAGTACATAATTAGGCATAAACCTTGGGTCCTAAGTCTTAAAGCCTAGCTCATAGCCTGCAAAAATGCATAATGCTATGTATTTTGGCCTATCTCTGCATATATGCATAACTTTATGCATTTTAACCTATCCTGTATTTTATCTCACTTTGCATAACCCGTGAAATTGCATAGGCCGGATGTTCCCCCCAAATTATGCAATTGCGCGGGTTTGACTGTATTTACTCAGATGTTTGCACATATGTAGCATATGATTGATGGTTCAGATGTACAGTGCAAGATGACTTGATGATCCATTCTACTTTCAATCATTTTGCCAGTGTAGGGCTTGTTCACACCCAGTAACCTATTCAACGGTGACAGTGGTAACTGATTTATCAAACTTCTTCCTATTCTTGCTGAATTTGTTCTTAAAACTAAAATATTTTTATGTTTTCATTCTTATCTGCATGAATTTACCCAAGACAAGCAGACACAGTACCGGAGTCATAGGTTTTAGCCTACATTCAACTTTCTTTCCAACCTCAGTATTTTTTTTGAAAAAGAGAGACAAACACTTCATATTTAATTGAAAGTCTTTTTATAATCTCCTCTTCTACCTGCACATAGATTTCCAGCTATCAATGGTGCTTTAAATCAACTTGAGCAGCCTCCTCCCACATTGATCACCCCAATTCAATTAAGTAAACAATCCCTGTCATCCAAGGGGCTGTCTGTCAAATATGCATTGAATCCCCAAAGCAAGTAGATTGGATACATAAACCCCCAACTGATCAAACTGTAGTAAAAATAAATCTTCTTGCTATTTCTCACCAACAGTACAAGCACTGTCAGTGATATTCACTATTCATGTTTGCACATACTGTGTAGAGTTGTCTTCTAAGAGAAAAGCGTTAAAATACAGTGGCAAAAGTTGCCTTTTGGCTACAGTTTACAGGGAATTTCTGTTTTTCTATCCAAGATTTTGCCCAGGGTTCACTCATGTCAGGCCTAATTTTACATATTTACAGACATGTTTCACAGTGCCCGTGGAGAGGGTCCCCAACGTTAAGGGCTCCAGCAAGTACAAAGGCTTGCCTTTGTACTCTTGAAGGCCTCCAATGTTGGGGGGGGCCCTTCACAGGCACTGTGGTTAGCACACATTGTTCTCAATTTGGCTAGTTTTTTGAAAGCCAACTTCAAAAACTAAACTGCGGATGGGAACAAACTACTGAGCAATCATCTGATCAAGCTTCTAGAGAAAGACAAAAGATGGCCTTCTGGGCAAATTCACTAAGGTATGTCACTCTAGTTAGGGTGTGTTCACTTGAGCAATTTCTGCTCAGAAATTGCATTCTGCAAAATTTAAAGTACTGGTTTGGTGGAGTATGGTTCATCTTTGCATTTTAAAATTTACAGAATGCACTTTCTGCCCAGACAGATCTTAAGTGAATGCACCCTTAGAGTTTTAAGTTGAATTTGGTGTTTTTCCCACAACCTGTTGTCAAGAATTGGCTTTTGAAGCTGTAGAGACTTTGATTTTGGCTTCATCATGTAGAGTTTCATGAAACTTGGATCTATGTGTATTTGATATATTAATTTCACTGGAGGCTGATATGAATAGCATCACATGGCATGGTTATATTTGTTTTTGATTCAAAATCTGATGAAACAAATTACTAATGTGTAAAGCGCACATCCTCAATAGTACATATTGAGATTTTGAACACATCAATTGAGAAAAACACAGGAGTGAAGTTTTATCATGTGGCTTGTCATCAATAATCATCTGAGAAATCAAAAGCTGAGTAAACTTATCAGTCTGGTGCTGTTGCTGATGTGTCAGTTTCCATGACATTGACGGTACTCAAAGCTGTGTATACTTTGCCGTGTATAGTTTTTTTTTGTTTTTTTGCAGCTAGACCCGGCTTGGAAAAAGTATGTCTTTTGTTTGGAGCTCAAAAATATGTACTTCTGAGCCAGAAACATAGTTTTTTCTGGCCGTGTGTAGTTGTGAAAAAAGAAAAAAAAACTATACATGGGGAAGTATACACAGCTTTGAGTAACATAATTATAGACTCTACCACATTGGCTGAAAGGCCCTATTCTTGGCAAGTTACACAATCTGTAGCATATGAAGCTCAAGTATGCAGTTTTTTGAGATCATATACAAGCTGTTGCATACCAAGAATAATGGTGGTGGTCCACATGGTTTGTTGGTGTGGTAATTGCAAAAACTGAATGTTTAAAACAACAAGAAACAAAAATACAAACTACAGCTTTTCAATCCCCTGCCGTACACACACCTGAGTTGTCTACCAAAACTGTCAACAGCTGTCACTTGTATGTTGTGAGGTATTTATTTCTTGGTCAATTTGGAGTTATAAGTCATGTTCTATTCACTTGACTGAATGGCTGCTGCTGTGTTAGGGATTTTTGAACAGTAGATTATTTTACAAAACTCCTGCCCAGACGTTGTTTGAAAGATGCTGAGAATTGATAAGCTTCTAAGGTGTTTCAAATTCTCATTCCTTTCTGACAAGTGGAGCCTCTAATACAGATGCATGTGGATCTTGCTAAGATGGAAGACTCTTCTCAGGGCAACTGCTGATAAGCTCCCACAGTTAGAAAATTCACACACCAAGATACAGAGATGTCTCTTTTATGGCTTTATCTTTTAATTATAAATCATCTTTACAAACAAACAAATAGCTTGCAGCCAGGAATTCCAGGTGCCTGTGCCCGTTACTACTTTGGGGACTGTTCAAAAGGGTACCCTTGTCAGCTGCATGATGCACTTATGCAGGTAAGTTTGAATAATTGCTGGGTTGCCTTCATGATTACTCATGATCTGATCTACACCATTCCAATCTCCTGCTAAGCTTGACCTTGGGAATCTTGGTTCAGCAAGTCACATCCACCAAGATGAAGAAATAAAATTGCCCCCAATGGAAACCAGCCCTTTGGAATCAAATCTTCTCACAACCAATATTTTCTATATTCACAAACGCCAAGGTGTATTACCATTCAAGAATTTGGGCTCACCACAGTCCTTGATAAGGGTTAACAATGCTCTGACTGAATTACAAGCATCAATTGAAAATCAACCAATCAAAGTCAGCCAACTTTCACAGCTTAAAGGAGGCTCTTTGAGGTTGGAAGCAAACTCTATATTGGCAGCAAACTGGCTTATGACATTTTTGGGAACATGGGGACCTAGGGTAGATCCAGATTTCACTCCAAGGTCTCAATTGTACAAGGTTGTCTTGAAAGGTCTACCCAGGGGTATCTTTGATAAAAATAAACATCATCTGATTGACAAGATTTGTGATTCCAACAATATTGACCCAAGAAACATTGACCAATTGCACTATTCTAGGTGTGCAGGTGGGAATTCAATGATCATATGTACATATTCTCAAGAGATTGCTAAATCAATAGAGCAGAAGGGTCTCAAAATTGAAAAATCATTGATTAAGTGCCACAGATATATAAAGATTAATGAGCAATGTGAAAAGTGTTTGAAGATTGGCCATCATTACTACTGGTGCAAATTCAATACAATTTGTGAGAGGTGTGGTGGAGGACATTGGAGTCATACTTGTAAAGGCCAGGCATCAGGTAAATGTCATGTGTGCTTAACAGAACGGTCATCAAGCTCTACTCAACCACTTGACATCAACAGTCTAGAATTCAACCATTCAGCATACAGTAATAAATGCCCCACAAAATTGGAAGCTATTCAGAAATATAATGACATAAAAATCAGATTTGAAGCTGAAATTTTGAAGGCTAAAAAATCCTGATTGAAAGCATCATCATGAGTACATACATACCTATTCAAAGGCTCTGTAAATTAGTGACAAGCAAACATGGGCTAGGCTCACAAACAAATGTAATCCAAGGGTTTCTGATAGACACAAAGCTTTTAAAAAATGCCCAATAGTTTTGGTTCAAAAGTAGAATGAATGTGATCTACTCATCCGTGTGTGACCAATGTATAGAAAGTTAAATGCACAACTAGTTTATTGGCTGATTGGTTAAAAATTATTGTTCTCTAACTAATTTACTGCATCATTTTTGACCCAAATTATGCAATAGATGGCTTTTTGTCATTTCTACATCAAATTTTCAATGTGACAAAAGCACTCAAAAAGGACAATGGTCTTTAGACAGTTTTGACTCACATACATATGTCAATGGCCTGAATGATAAAGGTGGTGACTGTTAAGCTAAGGCTTCCAGTTGCTCAAAGGTGACTATGATCCAGATAGACTGGACAACCAAGAAATCAAGTGTGAGTATGTTTTTGACCAACTTGGAATCAGATAAGGCAATTTGACACAATAAAAGAGAGGTTTTAAAATGGTAGCCTCAGTTAAATCTCAATTCAAAATGAGCAACAATCTTGTAAGCTATGTATCTGAAATTACTCAATTCAAGTCATACAATCTCTGTTGCTCCTCAGATTTGGTATGCTGGGTTCAGGCCTCACCTTGACTCCTGCTATCTACTACCCATAGGGTTAGTTAAAATGACACACATTCCATGCAGGAAAAACTGACTCTGAATCAATCTCACAGGTTTCAGATAATGGGTCCACAAGAAAATTGATATAATAGATAGTTGGCCAAGATGCTGTAGTATTGGTTGATGGAAGATTGCTACTTACAATCTTGGTCAGGAACATCAGGAAGTATCTGCAGGTAGAAATGGATGAGATGTGTTTGTGTACAAAAGAAAAGCACTGGGTTTTTGGTGAATTGGGAAGACCATGGAGTTGCTACAAGGGTGGTAAGACCATCAAATGGCAATTTGTGGCAGGCTCCATAATGAACAATGTCAATTGGGCTTGAAGTGCAATGAACAACCTACAGGCTTTCATTTTCAGGGTGAATGAGAAAATCTGTAGACTGCTCAAGAAATTCAACATAAGCTTTCCAGTTTTAACTTTTACTTTATGATACAGTAGCTTATTGGTACTGTGATTCCCTATTTTGGACTTTCCCATTGTTCTCCTCATACGCACTTTTCGCGCTTTTCTCTTTTCTTTCATTTCTCTTCAAATGCTTTCTATAAGTTCTTTTTCCTTATCGAGACGGACTCCACCGGATCCGTCCCGATCACTAACAGCTTGTAGACCTATTACTATTGTAAGCCGGATCCCATGGAACCGGATCCGGGTCATTCCACCTCTCATATCTTGTATCACAACCAGAAGGTTGTTCTCCTCTGTACGACATCATTGTTTCCTTATTTGTACCATGCAGAGGATGCTCGCCCATATAAGGAGCTCGCATCTCCTTCAAAATGTAAACCCCAAGTTACTTCCCATCTATTTTCGCACTACTGAAAGTACGTGGAATCACAAATATATATTTGTGTGTCTTTATCATTTTTCTTTTTTCTCTAAGCTTTAATATCACCAAACCTGATATCGAAAAAGGTTCTCCCATTAATCTGTGACCACCGGTTCTAACTTTGTGCTTCTCCCTTATCTCCCCTTCTCTAGAAACCCTACAACCAGAAACACAAATAAAAAAACCCACAAACCACAGACTAAACCCGTCGTAAGTCACTCGTAATTTCCTAGCTAGCTATTCCGAATACCTTCGACACCTTTCCTTTCGACTAGTTAGAGTAACTAAAAAAAGAATTCCTCCCTATCCTTTACGCACACAGATTCAACAAATCGTTTTCCAAACAAACCAAAAATTTGTCGCGCTTAAAAACTTATTTGATTTTTAAATCACTGTTAACACAACTAATTCTTTTTGAAGAAATTAGAAATCGTACGCCTATTCTATTTTAGAAGACTCTGATCAAGCCTTCCTCAAGCTCCTTTTTTTAAATACCTTTCGTTTTTTATCTTTGACGAACAGTTACCCCCTCAAGATGGAAGACCACAACGGATTTATCAATATCCCTGCCGAGGATCTCCGTTTAATAAAAGCCCAACTCGAACAGTTCGGAATCGAAGCCCACAACCGCGATCAAAACCACGCACGCGAGATCACTGACCTTCAAAACCAACACCAACAAATCTTCCAACAACAGGCCGAAGTCATTCGCCAATTCGAAGCCCAACAACATAACCGATCAACAGATCACTACCAAAAACCTGATGCTTTCCGAGCTGAACCCAGAAAATTTACGGGTTATGGCGACAACGCGGAACTCTGGTTTTCGGAACTTGAATCTAACTTTCGAATGCATCGCTACCCAGAGGCGGTATGGGGCGAGATGATAGGCTCATACCTGGACAAAGAATCTCATATGTTTTGGCACGAAGCCCGCAAGGCACAAGGCGGCACCATATCAAATTACCAAGATTTCAAGACTGAATTTTTGACACAATATAACTTTGACATGATGGTCGAAGAGATACAAGAAAAAATCAAGATTTGCTACTACAAAGGTGACATCAACGATTACATACTTAGATTCCGGAAATTGATGGCATACATGCCACTAGATGTCCTTTCCTTTCAAGCTTGTAAATTCGCTTTTACCGACAAACTACCAGCTCACTATCAAGAGAAAATAAACAATAAAGAAGACATAAGGTCAAAAAAAGACATGGAACTGGTATATGCTGTCGCTCGAGAAGCCGAACGGACGGTTAAGATCAATAATCGCAGTTTTAAAGGATACGACCAAAAAAACTCGACTTCTCATAAAACACCCGAAAGAAAACCTCAATTCAATACTCATCGCAACATCTTCAGACCCTCAAATCATTTTGGCAAACCTCACTCAGTCACCAATGGCTCCGGCCCGATGGACCTTGACAGTGTAGATTTAACCAATGTAGAATGCTATAGCTGTCACGGAAAAGGACACATGGCTGACAAGTGCCCCAGAGGACAAAAAAAGAAGACCTATCATGGAGGAAAGAACCGCCAGAACAACTATGACCGACGCAAGCCTAATCTTCTACTTATGGAGCACCTACCATTCTTACCGGACGATCTTCTATCTCTGGACTACTTCGTGCCCCCCTTCCAAGACCATGAACTTCAGGAGGAGGAACCATTCTTCACTCCCTTTTCGGACGCTGATGGGAGAATGGTTCGGGCATCCAAGGAATCTTCAGAATCGCTCGACGGTCCCACTGAAGACGGTAGGGAAGACCTCGAGGCCTACAAGAGAAGTTACCTCGAAGCGCTTAAAGATATAGATCCTGACACCTTACTCGACTTAGAAAAGGAGAGGGCAGCTGTCTCTGAACTCTTGAAAGATAATCAGGAGTACCGTTGCTGTAAGTCATGCAGAGCTTATGGGAACGAGAGCAGCCCCCCCACAACATCTAACGGGATTCTATTCTTTGACTTAGACGCAAACCAAATCAACAACATTAACAATAAACAACCTCTCCGAGAAGAGACCCCACCTGAAAGTGTTCCGGCCCACGATCCTAACAACCAACACAATATCTACTATGTTGGGATAGAAAATGAATTAAAAAAGGATCCATCAAAGAAGATGAAGTTAGATAGCACGTTGATTGATGGCTATCAGTATACTACGTTCAGAACCCCATCCCTGATCAGTCCCCCTGACTTCGAGGAACTAGCTGAAAAAGAACTCGCGAACGTTGAGGACTGGAATAGGATCCTCAATACTAGCTATAATAACTGGGCTAACCGAGAATATTGCGACTCGGTTTGCACCCCCAATGAAGAAGATACAAGCATCATTGCCATCGAATCAACATCGATTTCACCCTATGATGATGATCCTAGGATCAGTGACTACGATTTCTTCAAAGCCAGAGCTGTCGACTTGCCTGTTTTAGGGAATGATCCTGTCGACCTCTCGATAGTAGAAATGGACACGTCCCCTAGACTGAAGAGATGCCCTTCCACTTGGCTTGACGTAGATCTAGCAACACACAAAGGGGGAGGGAAGACGTCCCTGCCGATTTATCCGTGCCTTTTTCAAAACATCCCGCTTGACACCATAATTGACAGCGGGGCGGCAGCCAACTACATCTCCACAGAGCGCGTTTAAAAAATGAAGCAACTCCATCCAACTGAGATGGATATCGAACGTGTGGACCCACAAAACGTAAGACTAGCCAACGGTGCACGAGAATCCTGTAGTGAAGTTGTTACGTTTGAGGCGGAATTCGAGGATGAGAGATCTATAGCGACCTTTAAATTCAACGTCAGGGCGTTCATACTACCACTACCGAACATCTTGTTAATTTTGGGCTTGCCATGGTTGAGAGAGACTAAACCTCTCATCAACTTCACTTCAGGAAATTATATCGTCAAGAACGGTTTCGTAATCAGGCCTAGAGATTACGAACCAAAGCTATTCACCATCGAAGATAAAAATTTTGGTGACAAGTTAGAACATATGGCAAGAGTCATCGCTCCCGAGTGTTGGAAGGAGGAAGTCGTGACGATGGACCGATTGTATAAACACCATATTGAAACTGGCGACGCAAGGCCCATCAAAAGCCATGGTAGACCACATACCCCTCCGGAACATGCTACGATCAAACAGTTCGTGGAAGAAAGCATCGCGCAGGGAATTATTGAACCATCGGACTCACCGTGGAGCTCTCCGCTATTATTGGTAAAAAAGCCAGACGGCTCTCACAGGGTATGTGTAGACTATCGAGCCTTAAACAAGGTCACGAAGAAGAACGCTTACCCATTACCTCGCATTGACGACACTTATCTTTTTCTCTCCGGGGCTAAGTATTTCTCCACGATCGACTTGAAGAGTGGATTCTGGCAAGTTCCAATGAACGAAGCGGATAAAGAAAAAACAGCGTTTACTTGTAGGTCCGGTC